TTATTTTATCATTTTAGTCGCCATGATGTTTCCTTCTTGATATCTCATCTTTCTGTATTTGTTCATTTTTGTCAACATAGAATTTATAAGAATGTGTTTTGATGATATGATTGTAAAAATGATTTCTTTCTTTTCAGTGGCAATGTTTTGATTGAAACAAAATTCTACGATGGTGATCTATTAGTCAGTACATCTCGAGTCAGGATATTTTACGTGTAACAACAGTCATCTATATGTCATCTGAGAAACAATGTGGATGAGACTTACAAGCAATCATTAAAGACAATGAACTAAAGACTTAAATGCTATAGTGATTGCATTGCAAGTAAAAACATGAGATATCTGATGATTACATATTAAGAAATTATCGCCGTGCCTTTCAATGTTTTTCCTCCAATGGAATTACGCTGATAGACTGATAATAACAGCATTTAGCACTTATCTGGATGAACAGTCATTAGTTGCTAGCAGTTAATCAATCATCGTCATCATGAATGCAACACGAATAGATTGTGGTTTATTTTTCTTATACACAAAAAATGCTTCAACCTCCATTGGATTATAATTTGCATGGCTTGTGTGTGGACAGTGTATTTTAAGTTTGATTAATTGAGTCAAGCTTTGATACATAGCCTGCATCATGGGTTCATTGATGGTTGAACTACATGTATCCAGAGGGAGCTCTAGGGTTTGGCACACCAACATTTCATTCAAAACTTGAATTGGCTTTTCTTGAAAAATATGCCATTTAAATAAAATTGCCATAAATTTGGTCAGATTAGGCATTTTTGGCAAAATGGACAAAATCTTGAGTAATTCCGAGTTCTTCTGAAAAATTAGAGCCCCTCACCTGAAAATTAGACTTCTTTCTTCATGAAACCTGGCTATGTTGATTAAGCTACTTAGAATTTTATTGTTACCATTGACCAACAATAGGCAAAATATTGAGACCATTTTCTTGACTTACTTGTGTGAGTATTATAGACTGTTATTAGAATGTGCAGCAAATAGGCTTATTCAGGTATTTTCCATTGGGGTAAATCATCGGAAGATTTGAACCTCCTTTCTGGAGTTAGAAGACACAGAAGTGTTATCATATAATATGATAATGTTGAGTTGCAATTATATTCGTTCATGCAACCTCTCTTTTTGCACACACTGGTCAGTACAACGTACAAGCAAAATATATTTATATATTAAAGCCTACCTAGATTTATATTGAGGTATTAATTTACAATGGTGCAATGGCACTTAAAGTTTTGAAAGGTCTGAACTATCTGTGTACTATAATGTACAGGTTATATGGAGTAAAGGATGTTTAAAAGTTTGTACAGTGTAACTGTTTTGAAACTTGAACCTGGCCGTTTAAACATGTTTATGAGTCCTCAAAGGGAATACAGATGGAGTGGGCCAGAAATATGTAGTCACAATTATTAAGCGCACTTACAATTTGCATACTTTATATGGTATCGCTAGATCAATATTTGAACTAGCACTGGTATAAGGGTATGACCATTATTGTATTTTACAACATTTGAGGTGTTATACCTATTTGATGATTTGGTTCAAGACCACAAGTTTTGGTTTAGGAAAAACGAGTGGACTGAATACTAATGTGTTAAATAGGACAAGATTTCAACCTTAGTGGTGAACCCTGGTTACCAGTCGTTTCAGTACTGTTAATTTGGGGGTTAAGTAGAGAAAAAAGACAAAATACCCTGTGCTATTCATTATATAAGTCATATATTTTAGACCATGTAGAGTTGTCTAAGTTGTCACTCCCAAATTGTACCATTCTTTCTCATATGTGTAGGGTAAGAGTCTTTTACAAGCAGGTCTTGCAAGAGTACCATTTATCAGAACTCTTATTTATAAATGATTGCATTGGGGTTCTTGTATTGTAAGAAAGGTGAATGCTCTCTTGGGCTTGTATGAATATTATAGATATCATTTATGGATTATTCATTGCAATTGCACATAATTAATGTTCATTAGATATGATCAATGGAATTTTCAAGGTTTCTATCAAAGTTTACCTGAATGGTGAAACTAATTGTGGTTTTGTGGAATTGCATAAACACTTATTGCTTTTCATGATGTCACTTGGCAAATGTGTTGAGACACAAAAATGTTTTATCTGATGACTCCCAATTAAAAAAAATATCTAGATCTGCTTAATTTTTGCTCTTTTCAGTGCCTCACAAGAAATCTCAATGGCTTAGTACTATTTATTATCAGACCTCAAGCTTCATCTTTTTTGTTTAGTTAGAATCTGTGATGTCATCTAGATAATAGAATTACATGTACTGAGTAAATGGGAATTATTCAAGCCACTCATTGACAGATAATTTTTGAGGTCTATTGTGTAGAATTAGTTGATTATTTTTATATCAAGAGTAAACCACAATAATTTAATATATAGTTTGTATTAATGAGTATTTGATGAATGTCATTATTGAGAGGGACTGGAGTTATAAGAAAACTGAATTCATTTACTTGTTAAGGTGTCACAAATTGACATTAAGTGATTTCTGAAAGTTAATTATTATTTTCATCTGTCATGCTTCTAGCAGTTTAGGTAGTTATGTGTGTGTGGAGGATGTGGACTCTTCCTTCTGATATTACTATAGACTTTGCTGTAAATGACTTTTGCCTCTAAACATTGTAACTTATTATATTGCTAGATTCAATCAGTCCAAATATGTTGCCAGTTAGTGTTATATTTAAAAACAGGTAAAACATAAACAGTACCAGTGGTATTCATAAAATGTGAATAGTAGTGGAAGGACAAGAATAAATCAAAACTGAATTTCGATTTTGATTATGTTACAACGAATTAAATCCATATATGGATTTTAGCAATACAATAAGTTATGATGCCTGGATTGTTCTGTATCAGTTAACTCTCTCAAGACAAAACAATACCTTTATGTTCTGATGTCTTAATTTATGTTTTGACTCTTCTAAAAGCTGATGTTCATAATATGAACCTGTTCTTTTTTCCGTCCTTTATGTATTTTCACTTGTGTTTTTGTTTTAAAATAATTTGATTCATCTATATTATATAGTATGTGTAAACGTATGAATGTAAATGTCTTGATTTAAGAATAAAATGTTATCTAATGCATAAAAATTGAATTGTTTGATCTTTACTATATCACTCCTGAACATTGTATGATGGGATATATTAAGTTATAGGCAACATCGACTTTCGTTACAATTAACAACAAGGCATGCAGTCTATGCAGTTCAATAAAGAGCTCTACAACTGTAACAACATGTTCTGTACATAGCCAGTGAAAATAACCTTGAAATGTCCCTAAACACTAACTCGCTCAATATGTTTTGACATAAACTGAGGGATCAGTTGAATATTACAATTATTCCAAATTGAAGAATTAGTTTATGACATTGTTTCCATGGTAACAAATAAGGCACAAAATTTTAAAGCTTTAAGAATATGCCTGGGTTAACTGTTAGGTAAACAATTGAACCCATATTACAAAAAATAGTACCATGGGTACTGGGCTACTCTCACATGGTGTTGCTCAAAAGTGAATGATGGCTATAATGACAACAAATTAAAAAAAATAATATATAATTTTTTGCCAATTTTTCCAAAAGTGAATTTCATGAGACAAAAATGGCGACCATTTTGAAAATAGGCGAGCTTTTGAACCAGGAGTCATAACGGATATAATTTTTTGCCGACTTTTTTGTAACAAAATTATTTCATACAACTACTCTTTACAAAGACATGGCTTTTTACAATGCAGGACACCTGAGATTATTTGTAAAGCTAAGAAATGGGCCAAAAGTGAATTTCACGAGACAAAAATGGCGACCATTTTGAAAAAATAGGCAAGCTTTTGAACCAGGAGTCACAGGGGAGTTTTTTGTATTGATGTAGAACAAAAATAACTTAAAACTGGAATCCTATCAACAGAGGTTTTAAGGCAAATGGTCCAAAAGAGGATTTAGCAAGACATGGACAAATCAATGTTTACTAAAATGGCTAAAAATAAAAAAAAACGGATACAATTTTTTGCTGATTTTTTGTAACAAAATTTTTCATACAACTACTCTTCACATTGACATGGATTTTTACAATGCAGGACACCTGAAATTATTTGTAAAGCTAGGAAATGGGTCAAAAGTGAATTTCGCAAGACAAAAATGGCGGCCATCTTGAAAATAGGCGAGCTTTTGAACCAGGAGTCATAGAGGAGTTTTCTGTATTGATGTTGAACAAAGATTACTTAAAACGGGAATCCTATAGACAGAGGTTTTAAAATGTGCCACTATTGTTGGTCAAAAACTGGATTTCGCAAGACAGATGGACAAATCAATGTTAACTAAAATGGCTGAAAATAAAAAACAGATATTTTTTGCTGATTATTTGTAACTAAATTATTTCATACAACTACTCTTCACATTGACATGGATTTTTACAATGCAGGGCACCTGAAATTATTTGTAAAGCTAAGAAATCGAGACAAAAATGGTGGCCATCTTGAAATTAGGCGAGCTTTTGAACCAGGAGTCATAAGGGAGTTTTCTGTTTTGATGTTGAACAAAAATAACTTGGGAATCCTATCGACAGAGGTTTTAAAACGTGCCACTATTGTTGATGGACGGACGCACGGACAGACAGGCGGACAAGTGAGTGATTGCAAAAGCTCACCATGTGAGCTAATAAAAATGAGTTGAGCCTGGTTTACACTGAATGATCTTTTTTGATCCATTGTGAACTTCAAACAAAAGAATTTTAAGTCCCGTAATACTTGTCATGGTTATACACTGGTATTAGCTACAATGATAACAGATACCGGGACTAAGACAAGGTAAGATTGAAGGGCAAGTCAAGTAAACATTATATATCTGTGAACAATAATTTCAATGATATTCATGAGAATCTGTATATTTCTTCTCAATAGTACATGTAGTTATGATTCTATCCAAAAAAGAAGTATTCACTGACAAACATAACAACCAGTATATTTTTAATATTTTTCAATAATTTATTGGCAAAGTATCCAATGAAGATTTGGCATTAAAAGCTTGCTGGATATTAGTTTTGATTTTACAAATCAAATATTGTTCTACCTTTGTAGGGGATTAGGCTATCTAAATATGTGCCATCAAACTGAAAATTTGAATCTATAAGTCCAGATGTATACCACTCTCTGAATCTATCCAATTCCGCTAGACACAAACACATTACAGTACTAAATGGTATGCAAACACCAGTGTGTCCATTGGCCAAACGTAAATAAAATTGACTATGTACAAAATGTCCTATGAATTTCTGCATTATTTACTGAGTGTAGCATAGTTATCATCATGATCTTCAATAGCTCTGTGTATGCGGCGCTCATTTATAGGCACATAATACCATCCCTTAGAATCTCCTCGTTTACCCATCAAGTAGCGTACCTCTTTCTCAAGGAGCCTAGAAATTAAAAATAAATTAAGAACCAGCTCAAAAACAATATTATTTCACTAAAGCCTAGCTCGCAATTTGTGACCACCAATAAATGTTGTGGAATAAAATCACTATTCATTTTATGCAGGATACAAATACAAACAGTACTCAAAAGTGTTAAACTGTTACATTATATTTTTCGACATATTTTCTTATTTTGTTAAGGGCCGACTTCAAAATATCAATTTCTGAAGCTAAATAAATTTAGTTTTGACCGAGACCACCCTCCCCCCAAAAACAAATACCTCAAATGTAAAAATATCAAGTTAACCTGGAGTTTTGTAATTTTTTGTTGTGGAGTTTAAAATATCCATCATAATTTTTGTATCAATCATAATTTTTGATCTGTTTCATGTTCTACTGTAAATATTTGAATGGGACAGGAAGCGACTTATGTATATGTTGAATAGGAAACTAAATTTATTTAGTTTCTTATCAGACATTGATATTTTGATGTCGCCTCTAAGTTTACCTATATTTTCGCTTTTCAGCATCCATGTGTATAAAGTGAAGTGCTTTTTCATATTCCTTTTCAGGTGAGTCATATACATAACGTGCAAACCACCTTGATATGGGGTGCTGAAACAAATAATGAGAAGAATTTACAAAACTATAATACCATATTAGTTTAAAACCTGATATACGTAGTATGGCTCTACAGTTCTTTTGCATGTTTTGTATGTTTCTACATTTCTTTTGATTTTTTAAACCAGATTCTAATTCCTAAAATTTAGAAATGAATCACTTTGTAAAATGAATAGAGTGTGACAAGATGCACATGTGAGACTGACAGAGTGCAGACATTACCTTATGATACTCCCAATGTTTTGGTTCATAGCCCTCGGGGATGTCTCTTAGCTGGGCAGGACCTGAAATTATCCATGGACAATAACCATGACTTTTTTCATAGTAATACAAGGACACAAATGTGTACAAGTCCCCACCAATGGGTGATCATACATTGGATACCTTACATTTATACAGAATGATTGAAAAACTAATCAGTTCGAGATTTTCTTACAAAGAATTCCTGAAAATCTGAGATCGATCCGCTAAAATGGTTTGCCTGAAAAATGTGTAGACAAAACTTAACAGACAAGATAAGGTTGGAAAATCCAAAACGGCAGCCTTAACATTCACCCAGAATGCCCAAAAAGTAATCAGTTCAAGATTTTGATACAAAGAATCATCCCTTAAAATTAGAAATTGATCCATGAAATGGAAGGATATCCTGACTCCAAATGGCAGTCACAAAAAAGGTGGCTTAAAAACAATTTCCATCACTTCTTGACAGGTAAAATGCTGTCCTCCCTGTTGTTACAACATGTTCGTTCTTACATATACTTCCAAAATCATAATGGTATGTTTTTCAATGTTTCCTCAGTTTCAAAATTTGAGATTTGCCTTCTACAACTAGCAGATGGTAAATGCTAATTTTCATATTTTCAGTTTTCACCAATGAACTATCCATAGTGTTGAATGATGTGTAATTATGTGTGTTATTATGTACTTAAGACTAAAACTAAACAAAACTCACCTATGAATATATTGACGTATGTTATCAGTAAACCTAGTGGGATGGCACCAAGCATGATATAGTAATGCTGAAATAAGAAAAAGTGGTAAGTAACAATCATTAGAAATAGAAAGTTCAAAGAGGAAAGAGGCAGCAAGGCAGGTTATTATAATAGAATGGCATTGTAATGGCATGGCATTATAATAGAATGGAATTGTAATGGCATGGCATTATAATAGAATGGCATTGTAATGGCATGGCATTATAATAGAATGGCATTGTAATGGCATGGCATTATAATAGAATGGCATTGTAATGGCATGGCATTATAATAGAATGGAATTGTAATGGCATGGCATTATAATGGCATGACATTATAATAGAATGGCATTGTAATGACATGGCATTATAATAGAAGGGCATGGCAGAGAAATAATTTTTTAAAACATTCCTCTCCCCTTTATCTCTAACAAACTTTATTCAATATATTCAGAATGATAAAACAGCCTCTGATTATTTCTTTGAATCTGATGTTGTATGGTATATAATAGGACAATAGGTATTGGTTCATGTTTCATAATTTTAACAAACTATACTAGTATATTCTCTTTTGAATCTCTTTAAGTTAAGATCACCAGTGTCACATGGATGGATAAAAACATGTGTGTATAGAGGCACAGCCACTCTACAATACCACGAGTCCAAAACAAAACATTCGTAACAATTAGTGAACCACCATCTTTATGAGTCTTTAAACTTATTGAATAGCCTTTTTGGATGAATACTTACCAACTGATCTTTGAAGACTGTCCAATCCTGCTTACTAGGTTTAATCTGTAACTTTGATGGTCCATGTCCATGTCGTACTGGTACTGGAAAACACATATCTAATGCTTTTACAAATATACAGGTAGCAATAACCCCCCTAATGACACTTGTAATAAGCCCCCTCATGACACTTGTATGTATTGTTTGTATTTTTATTCATACATGTAACTGCATATTACAGCATTATTACATGATGGAGAGTGTGATATATCAAATATCACCTCGAGGGATAAAATAGCACACGAGGCAGAGCCGAGTGTGATATTTTTACTGAGTTTATCACACAAAAACATAGTAAAACAATTTTTAATTCTGAACAGTAGTGGGGCTTTTTCTATCCTATTCAACAAGACAATACAGCAGACTCCTCATAGAGAGGTTCAATCAAAGTTCATAAAGCCTTCTCCTATCCAAGCCTTCTCATTATCATGTCCTGATCCATCAGATTTTGCCCAAATTGTTCATCAATTCAAATCTACTTTAAATCAAATAGCCGAAGAGAAACCAGAAATATTTGCTGCAAAAGAAACATCTCTATGACGTCATGAACTCATCGAGGTCTAGTCATTTGTTTGTTTGGTTGTTACTGGGGTGATACATGTGTGACATCACAAATGATCGTATCAAATTCCGCATATTCATTTGAACGATTTTTATACGGGCGCCAAGATAACTAAAACGAATGCATAATCTATAAAATATCTCATAGCTCATCCGGGCACCTAAATAATATAACATGGGACATCTAGAACTTTCAATGTGTTAAACCGCATTATCAAATGGTCATGTGATGTGATCTGACCAATTACAGTCAATCATTCTAGTTTGAGATGTGACAAACAGTATTATCGCACAGTTAAGGTCCAAAACTGCAAAATTGAACTAGATAACAGCAACAACAAAACGCAGCAAAACGAAATGTATAGCAAAAATCATAAAATAACACAGTCACATAAGAAAGGCCACCATTTTCAAAATGGTTGCTCACTACCCAAATTGTTATCAGAAAGTGTAATATGCTTTTAAGTAGGCACATATAAAACAAAATCGCACACATGTAAATGTCGGCCATTTTATAACTAACCAAAATATCATAAGATTACTCGAGTCTCTAGCCAATACTTGGCTAGAGGTGATTTCATCTGGAATACTGTGAACTCCATTTGAAAAAAGCTGGTCGAAGTGTCATAAATTTATTGAATATTTTAAAAATCGCCAGATAAATAAATAATAAATTAAATCGGAACCGCTAGACTCAACTCCTTGATGAGATATGACATGATTTCGTCAGGATTTCGTCTAAAATTAAAACAAAATGGCTCCAAGAAAAATGGCGATGTTCGAAAACTGGACGAAATGTCGTTAACATCTGACATTAGTAACTGGCTGTAAATTCTAAGTTAGCGATCCAGAAGATGTGAACTAATACACTGATCACTTCATGTGTGTTTCGGAATTTTTGGTGAGGTAATAAGACCAAAACTCGCAATTCAAATTGTGATGTGGAAAAATGGCGGACATATGATTTCAAATTTTATGATTACGACATGACCAATCGTTCATGCAGGAAATTATCTCTCCAGGAAGGCCACAATACAGTGGCCTTAGAAGAAGGTAATCATAAGACAGTGTGCTATGCTTATGACTATTCACATATCAAATAAAACATATGAACAAAATCGCTCCATTGCTTTCCGAGTTATAGTTTTAGACGAATTCCTCAACTTCCCCAGCAAATAAAAAATGATTTTAATTGTTCAATTTCAATTTTGATGAACGATAAAATAGCAAAGATACACAATTTTGCAATTCTGACCCTACTTTATGACTACTACTTGTTTCATGGCCTGACTGTGTTGCTAAAATTTGAAATATAAGAGTTAGCTGATAATTAGGAATACCTACATGTACTTTCTAGAAGTTAAAGCGGCTATATGGGCTGTGGAGAAAAAAATTGAAAAATGTTACCTTTTCTGAGCTATCGGGGCGAAGTTTTGTCTAACAACTTCTTCCTTGTTCCTATTTTATAAAAATGTATGCATATGGCAATATTCATCAACCAGTAGAACTGGCAAATCGTTTAGAATCTGCAATTCTATACAAGGAGTCCCACTCATAGATTTTTCAAATTTTTTCCAAGTCGACGTCGAAACACCTAGCGGGTGAAATCGAAACTAATTTTTCTTGCTGCTCAAATCGATAGAATCTCTGATAGTGTGAGTCTTTTTAAGAAAATGTTTCTTATAGAAATCACTTGACGATTATGAGAAAGCATTAAAAGTTGAATCCAAAACGTAATCTGAAATAAAAGTGAAAAAACATTGCGCGGACGTTAGAGAACAAACTTCCGGTTTAATAAAAAATGGCGTTGACGAAGGAGAAGAAGCAGATGAAGAATTCGAGGATTTTCTTTTGCCATTATCGATCGATATAAGGTATGTGCACAAAACTTAGTTGCATACATGGAAAATAGATACATTTTTAAAGGCTATAACATATTCAAAGCTTTCATTTTACGATAGGCCCAGGATAAATGGATACGACTCGGCAGTCTTTATACCCACTTTAAAATGCAAATTTCAATGAAACCCTATCAGACCAGTACCAGTACATGTGTCAACTAAAGTTGAAGTTTACCAGATGATTAGAGTTTGTAGAGCGAGGTGTTGCCAGTTCAAGTTCATCAAGTCAGAATTAAACTTGCCTAAGATATTCAATATACAATATGTCATTGACTTGACATGTTCATGATCATGTCAAGGAGGATTGGAAGCCAGGGTTCCAACTCGATATTCTTTAATCTCCACGCATGCGTCATTTGCTATTCGTGTATAATTTGTACGACTGCATGGAGAATGACCCGATACTCTCCAACAAAGCTATCGCTAGGTGATTGTTTTGCAGAATATCGGTGTTGCATTCTGGGAGCCAATCCTCCTTGTGATCATGTTGAACCGAAGAATTTTTATAAAAAAAATATAAATTTTTTGACACAGCTAGAAATCATTTGTCTGTTTGATAATAAAACCATGTAACATACCTAAAGCATTATTCTGGCTTCTAAATAAGGTGCTAGGTTGGGCCTTAGTATGGGGTTGGAGGCATTTAAGTAGCGAAGGTCGAGCAGCCCTGAGCAAACTCAACACCGCCATTTTGTTTGAGGAGAGAACCTGTCAATTTCAAATTATTGCAAATGAAACTTGAATTTCTTTCAGTTAAAATCAACAATCACTTTAAAACAAATTATTGAAGATTTTCAATATACACGAGGATAAACGATCGAGAGCTCATAATAAATATTGCTTTAGTAGACTTAAATCATTTGGTTATGCTCTCAGAAATTTGATGAGAATGATTTGTCCCCATGAGATGAACACATTCCAAATAAACTTAGTTGAGATTAATTACTGTAAACTATGAATGATTGGCTTGTATTCTAGCATATAAGGATAAATCATAATATATAACTTAGAAAGTATGTTTCATATAATTCGCATAACTAAAGAAATTGTGTTTCTATAGAAAACAAAATAGAATGTGTATTTCATAAATATGGCGTTTGAAAATTTTTGAAAAATATCATAACAAAGACAAATACGCTCAACAAATCCCACTCTAGAGGATAATTAGAATAAGAATACTATTCATTCTTTGAGGCATGAAACATAGCAATGATATGACCCAACCAATAGAGTAATACCATCAGGTGGGTGTAGCATGAGCCATTTTATTGAAATGTTTTGTATTTTGATTTTTGGTTCTTTTTTGTTGAATCACAGTGACGTAATTCGGTTATTTTGGTAATATGATATGGAATTCTGTGCATTAAAACATTTATTAATTATTTGGTAGAGGGTAATAATACATTGGCCACACTTATGAATGGACATGGTGAACACGGATAGTTATACAGCTGTACCATCTCAATATATTTACACTTATGCTCGTGCTGAGGCAAGAGCCATATCTCACTTGGGTTTAGTAGTAAGTTATAACGACAATGGGCTGAGGTTTAAACGTTAGTTTACTAGTAGAAAACGTGATGGGTTAATATTTATTGATGAAAATGAGTTAATTCCTCGAGCTAAAGTTTAACCCTAAGGTGTTAGTTTATAATGCGTTAGAGAGGGTTTCAAACGACTTATACGCACATTTTACAACAACACCATGAACACTGTGCACTGATTTTCCGCAACATGATTTCCTAAATACGACAGAAATACGAGCGACTTCTTGATTTTGAATTGTGAACAATTAACAGCATTAAAAAAACTCCGGACATTTAACTTTTTAATTAATATCTTTGGAGAACGAGAATCAAATTGACCCATCTTCACTTTTTGATATATTTGGATGTTTTCTAAGAGGTCCAGGTACTCAGACCTTCACAATTTAAAGATCTTAATCAGTTCAAAATGTTCAGTTTTTTCTACTTTTGCCGTTCGGTAAATTACAACCGCGTTAAAAGTAAGCATCCCTATTTATCAATACAATTCATTACAACACTGCAAACATCTCCTTCACACGAGCCTTCATTTTTTTAAAATGATTTCTTGTTCATTGTTCTTTATTCAATTGTGTATTCTAGTGAGCAACACATTTAGCTTTATATTTCCTTTAGATATGGTTGGAGACTATAGAAAATATTCCCAAAGGTGGCCATTATAACATGTTGCCCTATTTTCCACAATGACAAGTATCCATGCCTAGCTAGAGTGTAGGTGCATCAATGTTATCCCGTGCCTAGTCCAACAACATTAGACCTAGCCTGGGCTTCGTTTCTTATCTGACATGTCTTATGGCCCAGGCTAGGTCTAACCTCCATGATCATTTTGCCTTTGATGCGTTAATTTAATCGTTCCGCAGGTTTCGACAAGCGGAACTAATTAAACCCTGAAAACATGGTAATATTACATAAAGAATGTGATTCAAGCATGCATACATACCTTATGAATACAAACACACCATCCTGTATCCCCCTTAGTCCCTACTGATGCATAATTATGAAAATATTAGAGACAGGTTTGGAATATAACGAAAATGTCGGTCAGTTCCGGTAACATCGAAATTGCAAATTGTATCAGATAATAATTATCAATCTATTTGACAACAATTTCGTTTCGCTAATAGTTTGATTTTACAATCCAAGACACTCGGACGAACAGACACAATATAGTTATATATAATGTGCAGTAAAGCTGTGGCCTGGGAGTTTCAGCCATGTTAATTTTTCCAAAAATAACATGGCAGAGAAGCATCAAAATATAAGAGGCCACAGATATGATAGTTAAACTACAAAACAAACTAAAATATACAAAAGTTAGGTCATGTATACATGTTTCTATTTTTACATATACTGTTTCAATATGGTCCTTTGATTGCTTATTTTTTAAATTCAAAGTAGTTCCAAACATTTAGAATTTTACTGTAGTCCTGAGAACGTCTCAATCTTTTGCCTGTACGATTACAACATTGGAGAATTTTTCTACGCCTCTTACACTTAAGATACCTATTTCAATAGATTCCTGGGTATTTTAGCATTCTTTTCGTGTAGTTGAATCCACAATTGAAAAAACAGTGCTACTAAAGGCAAAATCACTCTACAATACAATACACAATGTTCATTGTGCCGCTGACTATTGCTCATGAGTGACCGTAATTTTGTTTCTATAGGGTGTCAAAAACACAATACCCATAGTGTCATATATCAGATTAAACCCATATATCAGAGTAAACCTTGTTTTACGGGTCTATTGTTCAGTTCAAAAGTACTATAGCTGATCTGCTCTGATGCTTCAAGAATAATTGTGTATATTATTTGAAAATAAGTGGAGATGGTTTAATCAGAATGTAGATTATCAAGTATTAATTTAAATGATAAAAATTCTGACATAAAAGTAAACAGTAGATTTAACAGTGAATTTAGCTTGACTATCTTTTCTTTTAGCTATGGTTTAGATCAGGAGCACTGATCATATTGAAGTGAAGAGGCAAAAGCACAAGCCGCCACAATGTTGTATGTGTTCTTGGTTGACACAGGCACCATGCTCACCTTTGACATGAATCTTGCTATGGAAAGGTAAGTAAAATGCAACTGAAGTAAATATCAACTGGCATCATAAGTTGATACTAAGTTAATATTAAGTGGCAAAACTATGAATGCCCAGAAAGAGACTGAATCTGAATATGATTTCAATATGTTTCACAAATGTATACTTTAAGCACAGATATAATCGATATATACAAGATATGATTTCTCTACATACTGCTCAATGACACCCAGACTATTTAAAATGTCTTTTATTACATCTTACACCTCACAGTGTGTCAAAGCTGATGCATGAGATAGCCAGTCAGTACCACATTACAGAGGACAAACAGGTGTTGTTGATCAGTGGGGGTGAGAACCTAGATGTCGGGGCCAGGGTGTGTAGTTACAGCTCAGGGACAGATACCAATCCTATCTTCTTGTTTAGTAAAAGCACCATAGAAGCTGCTACTCCTCCATCTCCCAGCATTAACTATGGATCAGGTCAGTGGAGTAACTTTTTATGGAAAATGAATGAATTCATATACCAGTGATCTCCCAATTATGGAACAAATGTATGCTACATAATTCATGTGATGAAAATTGTCAGACATTTGGAATTATGATTAATTGTATTTTAGTTAAGTATACTTTTTTGCTGTAGATGCTGACTTACACGACCAAGTTGAAGGATCCCACCACCTTCCTCCGACATATGGCACAGTTGTAGCTAGGGCACAGTTAGCGCTGGTAAGATTTCTATAAAAATCAAGAAAATTCATGTTATATATTCATTGCCAGTAAGTTTCATTACTTTCATTTAACAGAAGTGAAAAATAAGATGTTTTAAGGAAAAAACTTCATTTTATATACCCATATACTAGAAAACTTATGTGAATAAGTTTACCTTGACATGCTAAAGATGTGAATATTTTTGCTATCCCTCCTTTGATCAGTGACTCCTGTGTTAGCAGAACCATTATGTCACCATATGTGAATGCTTTCAGCAAGTCACTTCAACAATATCACTTTGGTTTTATTGTACTTGTAGTATTTTGGAAAGGAAATTAATTTATCAATTTTCATCATTTCAGCAATTCAATGATGTAGCAAAAGATGAGATGCGTACTTGTGAACATTTGGTTCATGACCAACATCTGCAACATCAGGGTTGGGCAGCTGTTGTAGCAAACCTTGAAGATATAGCTAGGTAATGCTTCAGTTTTTGTGTTTGTTATGTTAAGAGTTGAGAACTATCTTTTTTAAATTCAAGAAATTTATATTGTTCCTCTCAAATATATTTTGAAAAACATTTAAAAAACAATGTTACATTTATTAAGACTTGCTCTCAATATTTTCATTTCTCTCATGTATAAGTTACAAAAAGCACATACACCATGTGACCTTTATGATTGCAGTGCATTTAAGACCAGATCAGAAATATTTGATCGTAACTTCAACGACTACCTCAAACAAAGGCAACACTACAAGGACATACTTTCAAGGTAGGTTATTTTTCAATGTGTTAACTTGGGCTTTCAAGAAAGCCAATGGTATTTGATTGTAACTGTAGTTCTTCATTACTAAAAAAATTAAATTATGTGACTCTAGACCAAACAGTCTATCCTCCAGACCTTTAGGTCTTTACTCTTTCTGTTTACAATAAATATCTGATCTCACCAAGCTAATCAGAGTTCTTTGTCGAAATACAGACGACTTTCTATATGGTCATTTCCTCGGACATCACTGCATAATTAATGAGCACGTGTTTAGCACGTGTTCCTTCCACTTCGCTGACTGGTTGAGAAAGGGTCAGCGTGGTAGATTTGCAATGATTTATTACCTGGGCTGTCACAGGCACCAATCTTTGGGGTGGAGCTGCAAAACTGTAATATAGTCTGTACTAGGCAGAGGGTAGTTTATAACAAGACTCTGCACGCAGGGTAAGGCTTAAGTCTGTCTTGCTATGTTTGATTTAAAGTTTTATTCTGTCATTAAAAATCTGTTTTTCTGATGTTTTCCAGCTTCCACAATGACTTGGTGCTGCTCTCCAAGGTGCCCTTACTGTCTTGTCTGACCAATGAGAGCTCAGCTGTGGAAGCTGATGGGGATCTAGAAACCCCATGTTTGCCACAGACACTGCTGGAGTGGGTCAGTGCACAGGTAAAAAACATACATTCATCAAAAATAAAAAAGAATGATTGTCAGTTGTAAAAGAAAACATTCTAAGAAATTTAAAATGTAATGAGTAAAATATTTATAAAAAGTTCTACCCTGTTACTGTGTCCTGCCCAACGTTTATTTCTTAATATATTTTACAGATAAATTGGTGACATATAGCAAGCCTCACTCCAAGGCAGTTTTAAATCATTTCAGTGCATTTGTGCATGGTGTCTGCCACATTTCAGTGACATGTGTCGAAGTCAGCAGACCACAAAGATAGTTGGCATTGGCATTTTAATTCATCAGCCTACTGCACAAACTCTCTCAAAGTCAAAGTAAACTTTTTTTGAATTTTAACTTAAGGTGGACAATACGAAAAATGTTAATCATTTTGTTAAATTCTGCAGGACAAGAAAAGTAACCTTGAACAGATGTATGAACAATGTATGAAGGACATCGACCTCTTAGACAGCCAGGCCCATGAACAACTTATGACAGACATCACACAGCTTATAGATGCAATAAATAATCCCAATATGAAGGAGGTTAAAGGTCTGGAGGATAGACTGTTTGGTCTAGAGCAGCTAATGTTTGGTGCAAGAAAGGTGGTGAAAGAGCAAGGGGAAATGGCTCAGGTATTTCAGATTTCATAAAACTCTTTTTATCGTACCTTAGAAAAGGTACAATATTGTTGTCAGCTTGACAGGCGTTTGGCGGGCGGCGTCTCACTTTCTTGTTCTTTCGTGTGAGTGATTGATATGAGATCCAACATATCAACTTGTCTGTAGTTCAATTTTGGTACATCATTTGATCAAAATGGGCCATTATCTACAATATTTCCAGTGAATTCTTGAATTTCATTCAGAATCCATCATAATCCTAGGGCCAGTGGCCTGGAGCCAGTTACTTTGGTATGAGCCAGTTGAATCAGTTTACTTTTAAAAGTCACCAGTTGACCAGTCTTCATCTCAATCATCATAAAATACACAACATAACAAACCAGTGCTTAAGTTAAGTGCTCTTCTGAAATAATGTACATTTGACAAAGCTGCTGCTATATTTGCAACATTTCTTCCCGATTTCGTGAAAAGAAATTCATATTTCGAAGTTTTTGTCATCTTATTTCAGAGTCAGTAGAGAACTGTTATTACAGTTGAACTTAAACCCACCTTAGCGAAGTTAGGTCACTTCCATTTAGTTCCCATAATTTGAAAGAAAGTGGTGGCATATTGTTATAGTCATTTCTTTGCAACTGGAATTAGCTTCAGCATTCAACAGCTGGTTTGTAATTGGAACCTAGTGATGACATTTTGTCATGTTAATGCCTTGTTTTTGGCTCACACAGTGAGCCTATGGGATTGACCAGGCGTCCGTCCATCCGTTGGTCCGTCCGTCCGTCCGTCTGTCCGTCCGTCCGTCCGTCAACATTGGCCGCACAAATTAAAACTGCTATTCGGATTGAGTCATATCCACATTCATTTTATGCATATCCATAATGCCTATTTGACCTATCATCGCCATTTCCCAAGTTCGCCCGGTTTCCGAGAAATTGCGGATTTTGACGTCAAAAAGTCAAATTTTCTGTAAATACTAGACACTTTGTTGAAGTAGAACTTTCAAATAACTTTTAGGGATTGCTGTATATGCAACTTATGTCCTCTGGAGATTTCAAGGCTCTTGGAATTACGGTTTTTGGTGTTTACTCTTTAAAATTTGACAAAAAGTAGGACTTGGTCATTTTCAGGAAACTTTCTCATGTATAAAGTCAGTGGCAGGTTTTGTGATTGACAAGTTTCTTAAAGTTTGCCTTATACTTGATCATTTCCTGCAATAAATTACATCATTACTAGATTTAAGCATTCCCTACATATTGCTCAATATATGTCAGCATCAAATTTTTACCGTTTTTGAGATATTTGACGTCAAAAAACAGTAAAGATAAGTTATGTTTCAACTTGCTTCAATTTGACCAAATTTTTTTTGAAAATCATCTACAAGTTGCCAGGAGCTCAAATCTGACATTAGTTTTAGGATTTGACCTTTACTTGATCTTCAGTGACCTTCGAAAGGTCAAAAAAGTTGATTTTTCAAATTGATTTTTGGATGTAAATTTTGGTCAGCTTAATCACAAAAAAACCTTACTGAGCTCTGAATTAGTAAAATTTTCAAGGTCAAAGCTCATCAAACTAGGTCACACAATTATGCTATCTAAGTTTCTCAAGGTTCGATGACTACAAATCCAAATCAATATTTTTGTTTGAAAGTCAGGATATACATTCCTCTGAAGGTTTCAAACTGTGTGAGCACAGGACCGTGGGTCCTTCATTTTATTTATATATGTTTATAGAGGTCTACTACATACAACTTAAAACAAGTTTAGCTGTATTTGAAAAAAAGCATAATACCCATTCTCCTATTCCTCATACAGGGATTTGTACAGAACCAGAACAGAGCCAGCAATCTCAGGGATACCTCAGTTCTACCTGATTTATGTGAGAGTCACAAGAAACAGCTGACAGTAATGTTAAAAAACCACCAACAGTTGAAAGATATACGACGCAGGTGTTCTTTAGCCAAGGAGGAACTCTCCGGCAACCTGCATAAAAGGCTGAGGTAGAGCTTGAAGATATTAGATATTTTGAAAATACAGTGAACATTAGTTCTTGGAGAAAAATATTTTTGAATCTGAAGTGTGATTAAAATATTCTTACAAATGATATAGCCATTTAAAATGTATCCAGTTAAAGAAAATCACATAAAATAAAGTATCTGTTCAATACAAGAAAGGATATTTTACTTTTCATGATTTTTACATTGCCTCTATTTGGAAATATCTGACTATCTTATAGTTAATCAAATTTTGAATATTTAAGAATGAAAATCAAGATTATTCTTGCTTGTATCTAGTCTATTTAATTGTCTTTTATTATTATTAATTATAACACAGGTGGATCATGTATGTGGAGAAGCAGGTGTGTGATATTGACAATAAACTAGTGATCCATCATGAGAACCTGAAGAAAACTAGACGCAAGCTAGAGATCATCAAACAAATGCATGATGCACCAAATGTGTATGTATCTGCAGTGAAGGAAGTAGTCAGGAGAAAGTGGTTCTCAACAAATTTTTTAGAGGTATGATACTGTTTTTTGCGATCAACATTAGTTTTCTTGACTCCATAGTGGTGATGTTATGTGAATTCTCTTAGTTGGCTGAAACTTCTTAGATGAAACCTTCAGAGAACTATGCTGCATGAAACACAATGTTCATTGTTTTCCATTCTTTTAAAACCCATCATTTAAGCCCTTCTCAGAATGAAATTGATAAATGTACTTTTTATCACAGTTGTGCACATTTTCCCCTATACTGGTTTTGTTCATAAATGTTTCCAGTGGGCCAAGAGGCTATCTAAAGGTGCTAATGAAGTTTACCTTGAGGAGGTTGGCAGGAGACAAAAATTTGGCCAATACTTAAAGCACCATTTCCTTCAGTCATTGTTTCCTGGTATAGAGGATTCCCCACCACAATATGCAGTAAGTTTAAAATCACAAGCAATTCTCTTGTCCTATTTTCAATTATTAATTTCCTTATGAAAGGGTGAAAGCTGTGTCTTCTAATTAATAAACAGAATTATCTCAGAAAATCAGTAAGACCCCAAGTTTCCTAGCCTTGCGAAATACTAGAAACACACAGATATAATTGTGTTATAATAACAGAATGTAAATGTTATTATTAAAAAGCCTACGGTTCTGTTGATTTGTTCTTTGTTTTGAACTTGTTTGTTGGTGTTTTCTTTCCTTTTTTTTCGTATTGTCCCTCTTATACTATCTGTTGCACTATGATCTTGTTACATGTAATTTCAGTCTATTACCCCAGAACCATTTGACCACCATCTGCCCAATATCACACAGGATGACATAACATATCTGAAAGAGAAAGTGCCTGAGTTTGCAGACAGCCTGAGGTTAGTAATCACAGCTATGTGTGTTGATACTAAAGAATTGGCAAATACAACTACACTACATGTAGTAAAACCAATAAAGTCAACCTCAATATTAGCTGGTACTCTCAAAAGTGAACATATTTAGAAAACTTGATGTTTATTTATCAGAAATATATTTTTAGAGATTCCTTAAAGAGATTTGACCAAATAATGCTGCTGCAATATTGCTGCTTTTTGTCTGGGTTCCTCTTAATGCCGTTACATTGTATCATATTTTGTAAATAGGTTGGAAGAAAAATAGAATTTGCTCTATATTTCAGTGAAAATGGAGACACAGACACTAACTACAAGAAGCTGTTTGAGACATACAAAGATCCATCTGACCAAGCTGACTTCTGCTTAGATATGGACAACATGAAATCAGACATTATTGTCCTACATGGTGACCAAGATGACTTCGAAGCCATTGAAAATAGTGCAATAGCTACAAGTACAATAACAACTAAACAAATAGATGATGCTCACGTCCAATTAACATCAGACCAAAACCAACCAGTTTCTAGTGATTTCACAATACTAACTTCAGAACATAAGGGTTCTAAAAGTGTTGAGGTTCTTGCAGATCCCGGGTCATCTATCCTTATAGCTCAGGACCTTATTGCAAATTCTCCCATTGAAGAGCTGAAAAGTCTAGACATTAATGTACACAGTACTGAACTAGCGGCGTCCCCACAGACAGATGATGAGCAATATATGACCACTGCATTTGAGCATGTAGATAAACCAGCTGTAGAAAGCACTAAAGATAAAGCTAAAATAATCAAGCAAAAAAGCCCTAATGAACAATCTCCTGATGTTGAATCCCTTGGACAAGATTTTCAAACTGCAGATTTTTATATTGATGAGTCAATGCCTTCTTCCATGACGGAAAGTAATAGCCGTCGAGTTGCAGAGTTGCAAAAAGCAGTACAGGAGAAGAGTAGCCAAGTTGAAGCTGCTGAAAAGGAAATTTTAGAGATGAGGCAAAAGCTAGAACAGGTTGAGGAAAAGTTGAGACTCCTGCATGATCTATCAGAGAAAAGTTCATTGAAGCTACATTGTGATGTACTTAGCATAGAAAAACAGCTTCAAAAAGACACAGATGATTTTAATACATTCATGGAGCACACTTCAACTCAGATTATTCAAGCTATCACCAATGTGGAAGCTAGAGAGGCTGAGCTACGCAGGAAAACCTTAGAGGATGTGCAAGCCCAACACAAATCTGAATTACAAAAGATAACAAATGATCTTGATTTAAAATCTGGAAAACTTGAAGACACTGAAAGAGAGTTACAAAGCTATCATGAAAAATTAAATGAACTCAATGAAAAATTTGAAAATATTGTTGTTGAAAAGGAAGATGAAATAAAAGAATTGGCAAAAAAATACAAGACTGAACTTGATGAACTCAGTCAAAAATTAACTCTAGAACACGAAATAGATCTTGACAAAATAAGAACTGATTTCACCAGGGATTTAGAAATAAAAGACAATGACTTGAAGCATCTCACTGATGATTTGAAAGAGAGCCAGGAAAAAGTTGAGGAAATGAAAAAAGAAAATGAAAATATAAAATCTGAGTTGGAAGATAAATTCAAAACAGAAAAAGAAGACATAATATCAAATTTAAACTCAGAGCATAATACAAAACTTGAAAGGGTTTTAGAAGAAACTAGATCATCAATGCATAAAGCTCATGAAGATGAACTTCAATCCATAGTTGCCAAACATAATGCTGATATAGAGTCTAAGTGCAGTAACCTTACAACATTGCTTAATAAAGAATGTGAAGAAGCTCTGTCTAAACAACAAGAGACATTATCTGAGGAATATAAAAAACAAACAGAAACATTAGTAAAGGAACTTGAATTAAATCATCAAAATGAAATTGAGGAGATAAAAGAAAATTTATTGAAAGAAAAAGAAAGTGAATTAGCTAAAGTTAAAGATGAGTTGAAAGAATTGCAAGTGGAACTAGAGGAATTGAAAAGTAGACAAGTGAAGGACTTTGAAGACAAAGAAACTGCCACTAGTTCTGAAACTGATGAAAAGTTCGCCATGAGACAGTTTGAAACTGAAAAAGCCCTTGCAGTGTCTCAGGTGAGTTGATCCAGAACTAGCAATAATTCAACTTTTGATATGACTTTTTATATCACTCTTAGCAGTATGGATTGTTGCTCTTTAGAACCTGTCCTCTGCCATGTTTAGTATTTGTTTTGGAAGATTATAAAGGTACACAATTGCAGGCACAAAGGAATTAAATAGTTAAGGCCAATTTTGTAGTACTAAGTATGCTTGATGACAGACTGCTTAGAGTTAACAAAATATCAAGAAAATATTGAAATTTTTGAAATGTAAATACACTTTGACATGTAATTATGCAATTATAGGAGGCTATGATACAGTTTTGTTATGTACATGTACTATATTCCCTGACTTCTATTAGCTGATACCCATTCATTCACAAGAAAATTTTAATAATATTAAATTGAATTGTAGGCCATTGATGAGTTGAAAGCTGAACACAAAAAGGATATAGACCATCTAGTTGAAACCATGGAGAAAGATAAACAAGACACTCTCAATTCAATGAAATCTAGTTCCGTCGCTGAGAAACAAGTAGCATTCAATGAAGCTATTGCCAAAGTAAATGCTGAAAAGGTGAAGGCAGTTGAGGAGTTACAGAAAAAGCTTAATGAAGCAACATATGAGCTTACACAGCTGAAATGTAAGTTGATGTATCCATTTATAAAAAATACAATAATTATTTAAGTCCAGTGTTTAGCTTTTTTGTACATGTTTATATTTAGAATGTTTGACTGTATGTTACGTTACATATTCAAATATACAGTAGGGCAAAAGCACAAAATAGGCACCACTTACAAGCCATCTAATCTCACAAATATCTCATTGTTCTTATAGCTGGTCAAGGCAACTCCAAGATGAAAGATGAAGCCACAGGTATACCACAGACCTCAATGTCAGGAGCTGTGATGTCAGCTTCTATGATGTCAGGATCTGTGATGTCAGCATCTGTAATGCCAATTTCTGAGTCATCATCCGACACACGTATACAAGAGCTGCAACAGGTCAGTTATCCTTTACAATGAAAAATGATTCCTTAATCTATTGAAAGCCCATGATTAGCTTAAAATACTGGAACAATATCATTAATATTAAATGTATATGCCCCATGACAACTTAATGGCCAGCTGTCACTGGAAAAGTAGTGAACCGATTTTGTTCATATTTGATATGTGAATAATCATAAGCATGGCACACTTATGACACACTTATGACACACACGATTCAAGTGCTAAAGTGGAAAATGGGGCTGCTAGTTTTGAATTTTGTTATCCCAACATGACAATGGTACAATGGGAAGTTATTCCCACCTCTTCAATAATAGCAAATTTCTTCTCAGTTTGGTATCTTCTTCCATGTATAACATTTGTTTGTTTTATGTCAGAACTGCAAAGTATACAAATGATCCTGTGAATTAAGTTTGATTTTATGAGGTCGTAATTATGAAGAAACTCTGTATTTTTGTGCATATTTGCATCATCCCATAAGTCGCCATCTTGACTAAAGTATGTGTCTATTGGGTATCAGATGAAAATATCAAGATCCTAGGCTTGCTTGCTTCATTTGCATGCAGGTCGATTGTTAGACTCAATTGAAGTCACAACACATAGAAAATGTGTCAAGCAAGTAACTTGTGGGTTTATGGTCAGGCAGTTAACAACATATCTAAGATGCCAGTCATCATTACTTTCATAGAGTGATAATGATATGCATATATTTAAGGGACTAGAAGGGACAGAGAAGACATGGGAGGAAGCTTAAAAAATTGTCACAATTTTCCATGTTTTTGGTCTCATCATTCCATGTCATGCCTATTTTGTCAAAGGCCCCTTATAACATTTAAACCACCAATCACAAAAATGTGATATGTAAATATTTTTCAATTTCAAAAAGTAGGCTTTTTGTTCAAGAAATTATGAATTTAGTTGCAACTAAATTTTAAAGGTCATATCATATCTTTTAGTAAGCGATATTTCACACCTTGGGCTTTCAAGGGTATCACCCTATGTATAGTCTGTCACATGACTTTATGGATGATGGGTGGGCGAATCGTTCACGAGTCTTTCCACTTCAGGTTTATAATGCTCCTTTTAACATGGTTTCACGAACGATGTATGGGCGTTTCCTACAATATTTTTTCCTTGAGACACTTCTGCAAGCTAAGTATTGTATTATATTTTATTCCATGACCGTGAACTTCCCTGCAATCTAATTGGTCCATGAGACTTAAATGTATCTTGTTAAACGCACTTTCCACTTGACATCAGCATTGGGAAACGGTCCAGTGCTGCATGCGCGATCGAGGTAGGGTAGTGTGCGAATGTGTGAATAAGAACATCAACCTGAAATGATAAAACATACACAGCATGTTCTGGATAGATACATGAATCATGTAGCATGACACCAATTCATTTTTTTGTTCAATAAAGGAGTTCGATAATGGGCCTCGTACGAGCTTGTACAGGCCTCGAAATTACGAGCCTCATACATGCTCGTACAGACCTCGAAAATAACAATTATGAGCATCATACAAGCTCACATGGGCCTCGAAAACGAGCTTCATACAAGGATGGTGCTCCTTTTTGCCCGTAATGACTCGTAATTCTCGAGGCTCGTACGAGGCTCAATATAATTTGTCTGTGTATATATAGTATATAGTTTTAGGCCTACTGATGTGAAAATTGGTCGTCTGTAGCGTTCGAGAAAATAAACATTTTCATAAGTATGCTTAAAGTGAGAATGAGTTCTGTCGAGATTTTAAAGATCAGCATTTCATTTTGATTTTAAATGATGAAAAACATTACAAGCACATTGAAATAAAAAGGTATTACCATCAAAAAAAACTTTTTACAAGCATTCATATTTTTGCGTAGTGTTAAATTTACACCTTCCTACGCCCCTGAATATCACAAACAAATGATATATTTACTACAAGTATTTATATTTCATTACAGGCCCTGAAAACTAAAGATGATGAACTATTGAAGCTAAACTCCAAAGTTGTAAGTAGCATTGGAAACTTATTATAAATCTAGAGTATTACCATACAAAAATGATATTGCATCTTGGTTATAATGTTGAAAATAGTGCAGTCAGCTACCATAAACCTAGAAGTCCATCACATCAGCTAAAAACAGGCCACAAAATATGTGTCATGTTGGTTGAACTAATTTGAATTGATAAATGGTAACTAAAAAGAACTACAATACGAGAAGTAATGCACTATATGCTCTAACTTTCTTTAATACTTCTGGGACAACCCTCGTATAATATTATTCAGTTTCATGAATATATTCATTGTGGTTAACCACTGTTCAACTAAACTCATCGGTTATCTCTAAGACTGGTGTCAGAAAGAATATAATGATTTGCATTCTACAGGTATAGCTCAGGTATGCAGGTATTGCACCAGATTTTATTATTGCCTTCACAGAGATAAAATGGTTACACTACATCAATATGCCCTTATAACACAATGATAGATATTATGTATTAACATACCTGTTTTGATAAAAAATGGACGTGTGGCAGTGAAATATATTAATCATAATTTATCATTATCTTATTTTGTATCAATATTTTCAAAGGCAGAATCTTTGAATTTTAAAAAATGTAATATTATTTGTAATATTTCATTTTGGAATTGTTATCGTACAAAGATCCCACCATGGATTCTTGTTTCTGTTCTTCAAGGTTGACAGAAATTTCAAGTTTCATCACTAATAAAATAGTACAACATTGAAAAAGTTTGAAAATGCTTATTCAGATGCATATAGAAAAAACAATGTTTCCATCTCTGTCTGATTATGAACCCACCTATCATTAATTTTAATCATAACTTTTTTCACAACTACAGTTCATGCTATTTTGGAGAAAGAATAGCATTTAGAAATAAATTTGTATATTAAAAGAGAAAGACAAAAATTAAGAGTTAAAAAGAAAAAAAATTGAAAGACCTGTAACATATTTTGTTAGTTAGTTTTGCCTGCTCCAATTATGTTTGTTTTTATATAGATGGAGCTGTCAATGTCTACTAGTACAAGATCCATGGTCACCCAGGATAAAGTCTCTATCACATCGTAAGTTCTCATATTCTGTTTAACTCATACATTTGAAAGATTCAAATAAGAGTCATTGATTAGTGAACGTGTGATCAGTTTAAATGTGGAATCATATGCTGTTACATTTGCTTGTTTCTGCAGGTGTAATGTTGGAGATATTGTACTGCTGTGTTTGGATGAGAGGCATGACCACTATGTTGTCTTCAGTGTAGGGGTCACTCTTCATTTCCTGCATTCAGAATGCTTAGAAGCACTTGGATTGAAGATACGTAAGTAAATCTCGGCTATTTCATCGCAAGATACAGTTTTTGCTCTTAAATGTTTCCATAAAACTTACAGACAAGTTAGTTGTTTTCAAGGTTTAAAATATGAAGAAATATGCACAGCTATGAACTCAAAACATATATTCATGACCATTTGTTGGCACAACAACTTTGTAAATTGACTTCACAATGCTTCACTACCATAATACATGGTTATGATTAAAGTCAGTGGGTCTTTATCACACCATCTGTGGGATGTGTATTGGTTATAATGTTAGCTTGAGCATTACAATCATGGTTGTGCTGGGATTCATTTCGAGCTGTGTGATCAATTAGCTAATCCAAGCTCATCAATCTTAAAGATTTCAGAATTTAGTAAAAGATCCCAACTTTCTGTTGAAAAGATCAAATCAAACTATCCCACCAAACTGGATTTTGAAGAAAAATTACAAAAAGTCTTAACTTAAAATTTAAAACTTTCTCTTGTATAGATGGCATGGTAAATGTTATATAAGTTGTACTTTGGACACTGTATGCAATATCATAGAAGTCCTCAAACAGGTTTCAAATGTATTCAGATTGTTCCAGAAAATGTTGTGACTTTGTTAGCTGACTAATATGTTCATTGTCTAGAGTTCTGATGACATGCCCTTAATAGGTCCAAAATTTGTCTCATGAATCGAGATATTTTCCTCAAATTGTTTGATAATTTAACATATTTGTAGAGCCAAATGAACCAAGAAAATCCTGGGTGCTTGGAGAGATTGTGGATAAAGAATACTGCCAGGCTAAAAAGGTAATGAATGTACATGCAAATATACTATATATTCACACATAGCTAGCCAAGATGTGTCAGATTCCAGCCAATCCGAACACAGTGTTTCATATAGCTGCAGTGCATTATATAACCCATCACAGCATCCAAAGTCATTCTTAAGGTGGTTCTCAAGGTGACATCTTGACTATACATATTGAAATTGATGCTTTGCCAACTTGACCCTTTCGAAAGGTTTTATTAAAAATATGTCCTTTTAGTGATTTCGTATTTTTTAAGTGACAATTGGAAGAAAATATTTTGCAATGTGTGAAAAGAATTTTAGCCCAAGTCTCAATGCATTGAGTAATGACCATTTCTTTCAGGCATTGTTTCCTAGAATTAACACTCAATGCTCCGCATCTCATTTTGGTAAGCAACACCTTCAAGGAATGGTCATTCCACATTGTAGGGTTAAATCCTTAAATATATATCATATCTGTTAGTCCTGTTGTCAATTTTGTTGAAATAAATAGGATGAGATTACCAGCTATATAAGTATTAACAATGCAACACATTACAGAGGCGTAGCCAGCTTTCAGTCAGGGGGGGTGCGATCGCCAAAAAAATTCGATTTCCAGTCAGGGGCGGTTGTGGATTGTGGATTGTGAATTTTACAAAAATTGATGCAGCTTCCTTCATGTTTTAATGGTTATGGGGGGGCATCCATCGCACCCCCCCCCCCCTGGCTACGTGTTTGAATTACATAGCTAAATTTCTAAATAAGATTCCTCAGTGTTTCAAATTAGGCAAATATTAATGCTAACTTTGTATCTGTATTGAAACTTTACCAATAGCTGTAGCAATTAATGAGAAAATGAAGAACAATAACTGGAAGACTTGAAAAGAACTAATGGGATATTTCAGCCTTCATGGGAATGTCATACTAAACTTGGTCATGATGTCATTCATATTAATTGACATTTTGAAAGATAATACCTGCTATTGTGTGAGTTTTGTTAAATATTCAAGTAAGCGTGCCATGAGATAGTTGAATTAGATTTAAAAGATTATTTAACAGTTACAAAATATTAATGATTAATGATCAGGAATTAATTTTATTTTGAATTATTTCAAACAAATTATGATATGTGCCAGTTTGGAGCCCACATACATCATGTCTGTGTCTCATTCATAAAGACAATGACTATTATGTGGTTATATAATGGTTCAATCTCTAAATCTTAATCATACAACTCTAAGAACCATTATGATACATCTTGAATGCATCATTATAATTCATGGGGGTTGAAAAATGCTAAATGCATTATTTATTAGGATTTCCAGACATTTCACCCTGTGACCCAGTCCAATCTAAAAGTAGATAAATCTTAAAACATATGGGTCAAATTATGACAGATCAGCTCATGTTGGATAAATCTGGAACCAGAAAACTAAATGTGTATTTTGCAACAATTAGTAAACAAGTCAATATAATATTACTTTAATCGGACAAGAAATATAGAGTATTACTATACTATACTAGTATAAAGTATAGTAATACCATACCTGTTTTTGCAAAAAGCGATAACAATCAAATGTTGAAAAAATCTTACTTAAGGCACATGACTCACAGGGCTCACACTCTGGTGTACAAAGTGCATATCATGTCAATTATAACATTTTGCTGAACTGAACCAAGTCCTTCAAAATCATATTTCCATGTTAACAAGTACTGCCTGTTGTTTGGCATTTTAGATTTGATTTCTCAAAGGATTCTATTATAAATTTGGAATTTTCAAACTAAAGCCCCAAAAGCAACTTTTTCACTTATCAAATGTCATATAACTATGTAAATCCAAAGATTATACTATTATATTTCATTCAGGGGCGGATCCAGGATTCACGAATTTTCCGACTTTTTAGGGGGGGTGTGCCCCCCACGCCCCCGTCTAGATCCGCTGGTGTCATTAACTAATAACATATTTGGATAACATTAAGGATACGTAGGGTGAAAATGGATTTTGACAGACACAAAATGTTTAGCTGATTTACGCCTCTACACTTCATGATTGAATATTGACCCTAATAAGTTTAGCTGTTATTCTTTGCATTGAAAACAGGAACTTTTAAAGACATGTTAATCTGAAAGCCGACATGGAACGAAATGATTTGAACTGTTTTGCTTTGTTTATTCTAGGCTCAGAACAGGTTTAAGGTGCCAATGGGAACTAAATTTTATCGTGTGAAAGCCAAACCTTGGGTGCATGACCGTGGCACTACCTAACATTTTTGTCACAGGAGTTGGAGCTTACAATTTAAACAGAGTTCAGAATATGAATGAAATGTCTTTCCAATATACTAGTCTATGTCTCAACAATTATTGTGCATTGAATGGTACTAAATACAACAACTGTCTGAAAAAAGCATTGATTTGCTCTATGATGAATCAGATGGCATCAAATGCATTGACTTACTCTATAATGCGCCAAGTGGAACTAAATGCATTGATGTAGTCTATAATGCATCAATTGGAACTAAATGCATTGACTTACTCTACATTGCATCAAGTGACTCTAAATGCATTGACTGTACGTAGGAAACTATCCAGATACTGAGCTTCAAGATTGCCTTCAAGCAAGATATGTATCCTTTGCATCAGATCGATATATTTTCCTAAGTGTTATATGCTGTACTGTATGAAAAAATTAATTGTAATTAACACAAAATATCATAATATTGTACAGTAAATATATATATTATATATACAGGGTGGTAAAAAAAATGGGACACTCATATTTCAAAAATAAATATTGATTTTCTTGATGAAAACATGTCATATTATATACCAGTGGATAGGGAATTTACTCATCTTTAATTTTATATAATAAATTCAAATCTATTATAATGTCCTTGAACCAGAATCCATAAAATAAATGACAACATTTTTGTTTCAAATCGGGTTTTCCACAACTTGCAACAAGTTGTTTGTCAACTTTAATCACATATACAGACATTCAATATGTCCACCATTTTGATCAATTGTAGCAGCCCTCAATTTTGGCCTAAACTGGTCAATACCATCATTGATATACTGTTGAGAAAATGAATTTCACTTCTCAAGAATTCTGCCCTTAAAGGACTGAATAGATTTAAGGGATTTATGTTATACCAATTTTGTTAGTTCTCTCCATACGTGGTAGTTGCAGACGTTGGATGATCGGATACGTGGTAGTAGCAGACGTTGGATGATCGGGGTGATCTGGGTGAGACAGTGATTAAGGGGAGATGAATTTAGGCACATTTTCCTTTTAACATTTGATACTCTTGTGGGATCTATTGCTATAGAGCCCCATCTTGTTGAAAAATGTAATGATTCGAAAATGAACTCATATCAGGATGGTTCAAAAACAATAGAATTGGATCATCCGATGTCATTGCTGCGACTACCGCGTATTGGGATCAGTAACAGAATTGGTTTATCATGAACCCCTTACATCTACTCAGTCCCTTATTAAGGATAAAATTGTTGGGAAGTGGAATTCATTGTCTCAACAGCATATCAATGATGCTATTGACCAGTTAAAGCCAAAATTGAGGGCTATTATTGATCAAAATGGTGGACATATTGAGCATCTGTTTACGTAAATAAAGTTGACAAAAAACTTGGTTTTTGCAAGTTTTGGAAAAAAACATTTTGAAACGAAAATAACGTCATTTATATTATGGACGCTGGTTGACAGACATTATAATAAATTTGAACTTATGATATAACAAATTAAAGATAAATAAAATTCCTATCCACTGGTATATAATATGACATGTTTTCATCAAGAAAATCAATATTTAATTAATCTTTGAAATATGAGTGTCCCATTTTTTGGACCACCCTGGATATATATAAATCAATACATATTTATGTCTATAAATATGTTTCATGAAAAATTTGTATATCTTAGACATAAGACAATGGTTTTGCATTATGGATTTTAATCGATATCTGCACTACATTATTGATATATCCGCTTAAGTTCAAAGCATAAAATTTAAAATAGCCTTTCAGTCTGTTATTGAATTATTTTCAATACCTATTATATGTTGTACTTTTAAAAATAATTTCAGTTGAATATAATACACAGAGGTATTGTTACTTGTATAGTACACTTGATATAGTAATGTATAATTGGTTAAATAACATGATAAACACATAATGCATGATAAAAGGAATAATGTTAACAGGGTGGCCTAGTGTCAGACAAAGACACAAGTTTACATAGAAAGTCTGTGATGGCTTTCTTTAGAAAGGTTAAATATTAAGACAAGACAATTGTGTCTGGTTTAATAAGTTGAATCCAGATGTATGTGTACATAATGTAAAACCTATTCATAGAGGGTTTGTCTTGGGTGGTAATGAATGTTAATAAATAGTATAATAAATATATAATAGATCTTTATTTGAATTGATTAATAAGGTGAATGATCTTTCTTTGAAAAGAATTTGTTGGTATTTAAAATACTGTATTTGACAATGGTTCTTTTAGAAAAATAAAAGAAATGTCAAAATATTAGAACTGGTTTTTGTTTTTTGATCACGCATAATAAAACAAGTTGAAAAATCAATTGAATACATAATAATATATCAGTCTGTAACTATTAGCTGTTTGTCATGCCAGTATTGTGGTGCCCTCTATATGTATGCAAGAACATTATGTATCTTTTATTCCACCATAATATCCTGTTACATTGTACATGTAATTAATATTGTTAGGATACATGTATCTAAAGGGCTTTCTGGAAGGACTTAACACTTTGACTATAGGCTTTAATAGGACATGTTTCAGTGAAATATACAATATTTTGTATATTTAAATGTTTCCTTGCATGGACCCACAATATAGATGGATTCATAATATTCACTACATGTCTAAAAGTAAAAAAAACCTTAAAAGAGGCATGTGAACCTCCATTGGTTAAAATAAACTTTGTTATCATTGTCATAATATTTTAGTGTAAAGCCAGTTGATTTGATATGTGCAGCATATCATATACATGTATAGGGGAATATACTCATTACTGCTTGTACATGTATGATAAGGCGATTGCATTGCCCTTCTATTCACAATTTGTTATTATGTACCCTGCGAGCTGAGTCTAGTTATTAACTACCCTCTGCCTAGTATAGACTATATTACAGTTTAGCAGCCCCCACGGCTGATGCCTGTGACGGCTCGGGTCATAAATCATTTCACACCCAGCGCACTGACCGATTCTCAACCAATCAGCAAGCTGATATAGAAGTTCGCCCTTATTTCGATGACGAACTCTGATAAGCGCGGTGAGTTCAGAGATTTATTGAAAATTGAAAGAGTGAAGACTAAGCTCTCTTTTGAGAAGCAAAGTCGAACGAATGCAAAGGGTAGTTATGCAAAGATACCTGCAATTTGAATTGAAGTTTTTCCAAGACAATTAGGGTATATACACCATAATGGTAGCAATGACTGTAGAATACCAAAGGGTCCCATCATACCCAGTGTAACTCAAAACTACAGAAAATTCATTAATAAATTCATTTTACAGATTCATTACATAGGTTCATTATAAATCAGTAAAACTTTTTGGATGGTATATTGATGTCAATCTTAATTTATTGATTATACATATTATATGTGTGTATTATGTATACCTGTTCTATGTTTGAATTCCGAGGTATTTTAGGTAGATTGCAAAATTGTCTTTCACATTTATGTCCAAGCTTTACTTTTGCAGTATGCCCTTATTATATGCATATTAAGGTATAAATGATTTGAACATAAATGTTTCCTTCCAACAGAACCACAGAAAATTCTGAAAGGCCCCAAAATACTGAAGGCCATAATGATTTCATTTTGTTACTTGGGAATTTTCTATTCAATTTAGTTCTCACTTTTCTATTTTATTACAGTTGGCCTATATACTGTACTAGTATATACAGCATGGGTCTGATCAATAACATAGATGCGAATAGGAAGTTACCAATTTCACCACCAGATGGCTCGTTCGGGTCAGATAACATGGCGTGTATAGTAGAAAGTTCCCTTTAACTTAAATTACACCTGTTTAAGTGGTTCAATTTTCATATAACCCTTATGTATCTAATAGTTATGAAAATTAAAATATGCCAAGTAAAGGAAAATGTTATGTCCAATACAAGAAAAGATATGTCACTTTCTGTGATTTTGTAACCTGGGGTCTATGGGGAATCAACCCGAACTAGAAGTCACATTTTCAAAACAAATTTAATTTTCAAAGTTGATAAACAATTTTCGAAACTATATTTCTAGAAGTACTTTTACACGTAGATTTCAAATATGACATCAGTTTGACTGAATTTTGAATATTTAATGATGTAAATCAAGATTATTTCTACTCGAACCTAGTCTATTTGATTTGGTTGTACATGTTTGTTGCATGGTGTTATCAACTATTAGCATATCTACATTCATATAATTTACAGACAAGTTTAATTATGTATTCTGTATTTTTCATCTGCATCAATGCAGGTATGATTATAGATAGGGATATACAGTAGTGAGTTAGTCAGTCCATCTGAATAAAGAGTAACTCAAATTCTAGTGAATGGATTTTCTTTACATTCTGTGGAAAGATGTATATTGGTAAATAGTTTTACACAAAAATATCCCTCTCAAGTTGTCTGATGCTTTGAAAATGGTGGGAATCTTTCTCATAAACCAAGGGCCTTGTAATTAGGGTCAAGAAAACAGGGATTTCTGTAAATTTTAAGATCTCTTTGAACTAGGACTTCATTATATTCAAATTATAGGCATTTGAGAGTAGACATATCTCTGGATAAGTTGTATTATTATGTAACTGTTAAGATCTGAATTGTATGACTGGTCAAAACTGGGTCACATGTCATTAAATGTAAGGTGATATTCATATCCACATATCCATTTAATATTAGAAAACTTGAGGATGGTTAACTTACTAATGAAACAAATATTTTATTCTGTGAATACCTATGTATTATGTATTTGTATTTTTCACAAGTGATATTTCACAAAGCAAACTATGTTCGGAGAGAACAAGCTGGTGAAATGATACATAACAGAGACAATCATGCAGGTATATGAATGTATAAATATATACTTAATAAGATGCCTATATGACTCATAAATATTCTATTTAACCATAATAAATATGATGGAACGGTTCCTATGCTAAAATTCTTTAAAGAAGCATTTGTCTAGCCACATGTAACCTGACCACAATTTCTAAGAGAAGAACAGAATATGACATGAATAGGTCTTTGATCATCTGTTCTTATGTCACAATAATAAAAATATATTACATTTATATTAGCATTTTATCTCTCGATTGACATCATGTTTTCTTTTGCTTCTTTGTTGAACCCTCATATACAGTATGTTGTATGTGGTAAACAGGTACATCATTACATGTGAAACATCTGGTTAAAATATTTTTATTTAAATCAACTGTTTTATGTCCTTTATGTAATTTCAAGCAGGTATCTAAAAGTCCCAAAATAAGACCTTAAAGGTTACCCTCTACCCCAATGAAAAGTACCAACAATGCTCAAATGATATTGAATAGATAGATGATTACATATACAGCGTGTTGTTTTCAGTGTAACAAAATTTCTTGTGTATTGTTTTTGAAAAGTTCCAGGATAGATAGTGCATAGAGTTAATACGTATATGTCACTCACATTTTCAATGAAAACCTTTGATATCATCATCATTTTTACTGAGTTTTTTCCAAGGTCTGGAATATAATTTAAACAGTGAGTAAGATGTCAACTAAAACTTTCTGAAAGGACCATGTGATGTATGGCAAGTGATTTTGGATGGTCATTCTTTCACCATGCTTACTTTCTGCCTATAAATACAGTGTTTTTTATTAAAACAATATGTTTTCCTTTAAGTGAAGTCCTGAAGATAGTAAAATATCAATCAACTCTCTAAAAAATTATGGATTAGGTACCTTGACACTTTTTAAAAAATGTCAGGCTTATTTTCTAAAAAGAGGATCTTGCTTTTCTCAATTTAAACATATCAAAATTTTCATTTACACTATATTAATAATTCCTGAAATAGGGAATGGTGTTTGAAAACCACATATCACATGTTATTTTCCTATAGGGAAAACCCATGCTATCCATTGTTTTCAGCATAAATTTGGTCATCAGATGTTGATATCTTAGGGGTTTTAGACCCCTTGTTGAATAATCTTTTCATGCAATAAAAATCAGAAAAAGAAGATCCTCTTTTGAGTAAATAGGCTCGGCATTTGGGAAAAAGATGTTGACATAATTTTTCGAATGTTTGATTGATATTTTTATCATCATGGGGACTTCACTCCAAAGAAAATATATTGTTTTAATAAAAAATATTGAACCCATCGAACCCCCCTGATATTCACTCCTCAACAGAATGGTACTTCCCCTTGTGATGAAAAAGTTAAGTAGACAACTTTTCAGCCAGTGGAACCTTAAAGCTAAAACTCTCAAAAGGCATATTGGAACCTTAGAACAAATTGAGTCTAGTTTCATCTATTTTTTCAATGAAGAATGAACTTTGAAGCTCCCATTTGCTAGATGTTTAACTCTGTATAACAGAATTTATAATAAATATCCAAGATCATCTAAATATACCTGTGAGGGTTTTTTGCAGTACGATCAGTCTTAGAGACTGACAATTATTAGCTATGAATGGGGGCGAGGAAGGCTATTTATAATCAAATTAATTTTGCTTTTGAGAGACAACTATATTTTGGCCTGACTCCTTAAACACTTGATGGTCTTCTGTCACATGACTTGAATTTCATATCTTTTAAAATTCTATTTTTCATAAATTGTCAAATTCCATATATGAAGATAACATGCCTTGTATTCACCTTTCCAATAGTTTGCTTTTTACGATACCTTCATCTCCATTTACATTTTCTATAGACTTTTAATTGAATCAACTTGAGTAACTAATCTTTAATCAGGCCAGTATCTGATTTGTCATTATATGACGCAGATTTCCGCTCTTTTGGCTAGTGTAACATAGAACAATATGTAATGAATTATTAATGATATTGCAAGTCTTATTGTATACATTATACTTCTTAGTATATATTAGTGGAAACATTATCTGGTTTATTTCACAACTATCTCTTATCTGGGCAATCTACCTGTTGTCTCTTGTTCCTACAACACTCGGTTATAAAAACAATCATTAATTAAACTTTAAAATGTAAAATTTAGAATGAAGAAATATGAAATTTGATACTCAATACACATTGATTGCTTTAGTTATTTGAAAGCCACATATTGTGCCAGGGATGATCGCTTGTTCTTATAATATATCATCATAATCATTAGAAAAAAATTATAATTTTTTCAGAATTTAGCCTCTAACCATATTGCCTGTGATTGATTTGATAGTAAGAGCATTTTATACGCCTTGGAAAGTGCCTTTTGTAGGTGAAAAATGTTCTTTCATTTTGTTATAGTTTTGAATATAAAAGTGATTTTACATTTGAATATACATTGTCAAACATGCCCTGTTGACATAGATCTGAGAACTTGAGAAACCAATACAATTTAAAGACCCTTTGTTGGATATATGTTAACTATGGAAATTTTAAAGTTGGCAGCAAATGATACATAGTGTAAAATTTTGGGAGCCTTTCATGTGAATAACAAATGAGGGTTGAAGATATGAGATGCAGAAATGACAAGATTAATTCTTTAGAATTGACAAGGAATGGTGTGACCAAAGACAGTGCTAAATTCTGACATTTTCTCAAAAAGTTCAACTTCCTTCAACTGTTGTTGCCTCTTTAAATCTGAATTAATTCAAACAAAATTTAAAACTTGTAAACATGTAAAGTCTCTACATATTATGTGGTAGAATAAGAATACTACATTCTATCTCTCTATTAAGATCTTCATAAAACCATAATATTATTATTAAAATCTCACAATGTACCAATAATCAGTTCTAAGATCATTGAGTCCATTGTTATGGTTACAGGCCCAGGAGTGCTATGTAATGCAAGACCCCGAGATAATATTCTTTTACAAATATTAAATATCTTCTTTACAATATATTATGGTTGCTACATTATATATAAACATTTCTGGTGGTTAAGGCCCAGGCCCGTAGCCAGGATTTGCCAAGGGGGGTTCAATTTTCAAAAATTTCCAGGGGGGGGTTCACATTTGACAATTTTGGCCCAAATTAGGCTAAAATCACTTGAGAAGTGCTCAAAATGGTCAAAAACTGCATGATTTTGAAAGAATTTTTGGCCAGGGGGGGGGGTTCGCCCGAACCCTGCGAACCCCCCCTGGCTACAGGCATGAGGCCTTGTAGTCTTTTGTACTAGTGTTCCAATAAATTTGAGCTTTCTGTTAGGATTTAGTATTAGGCAACTGGGAATTAGGTATTTAGCAAGATTTGATCTTCAATTGTATTTATTGATGCAACATGTCCCTGCAGTAAAATACTCTCTTAGACATTGCAGGTGGCTTGTTAGTTGATCCATACAAGCCAGAAAAAAAATTATTAAATTATTTTTAGATTTGATTTGTTGACTTGCTAGACCTTTTGAATTAACCTGTAATTAACAGCAATTATGTTTGAGGTGATTATCCTCTCTCTAGGCAAATGGCACAATGAACTGGAGACACAAAACAATTGAGGATTTATCTTAACAATTGATCAACTTGAAATGAAGTATCAATTGCTATAATACAATATGTCATGTGTATCTTTGGTATTTCTTTCTTCATTTTTGTTAAATGTCACAATTGATGCGAGATCAAAAGGGGTCAATCATACAGGTGAATTTTATCTGGGCTTCCATCTGAATTTGAGCATTTTTCTTGCAAGATAATCAGTGTATGTGTAATAAATCTTACTTCAATTACACACAGGGTGTAATTTTCAAAACCAGATAAGAATTACTGAAACAATAAAACGTTTGGAAGTCAAGAGTTTACTTTGTGTAATTATTTTTTATTATTTATTTAAATATAGATCAGTTTATACAACAAAATAAAGCAGTTTTGAATATTGTTTTTTTGTACAAAGAAAAGCAGAGTATAAAAAGCCACCCTATCAATCTTACTACATACAAAGTGTATAATACTTCCTTTATGGCCACATGTGACTTGACCCAAGATGCACAATGCTGTAGTGCATAAAAAATTTAAAGATGCTTGCTTGAATCAATGGCAGCATAGGCTATACTTGCATATATATTAGTATGTATGCATAAATTACTTTGACATTCAAATTATTTGCACGTAACCCGGTCTTGTAAAGTTGAAAATGTTATATTTACAAAATATAATGTACATAATATACAAAACAGAATCATAAAATTGTGAATTCTGAGAATAATTTAAGTTATATATGGTTGCAATGATTGCACTTTAAAACAAACAAAAGAATAAATTAAAATAAATAATGCAAGTGTGAATATACATATTATTTTTTTAACCTCTTGGTTAAATGTATAGTTTTTCTTGGTTAAATATACAGTTCAAATAAATTAATTGCCATCACTAAATATGATTCTGTCATTGAGCCTTTTTGTATTTTACTCCTAAAATGAATAATTCATAACTGCAATTACTGAATACTTTTTCACTTTTGATACATCTCAGTGTATTTTGAATAATGTTTTTTACTACCTTGTCATCTTCAGTCACTATGGGACAAGGGGGGGTTACTTGTAAGTAATTGCAATATTAATGCTATGGTTTCTTAGAGCAGATAGGGATTGTTCTGATGGACAATGAAAGAAATCACCATGGTAATAATTGTTCTGGTTGCTCATAGAAGTACCAGCTGAGAGATAAGGGGCTTCTTGGATATTTTTTGTTGACATTTGGGAAGAACTGCAAGCTTCTAATTGCTTGAGATCCTTACTCGTGCAATGGTCAAGATATGGCTGGAAAGCACTTTTCTCAACAGATAGATTCAATGGCATGTCATGCTTTGACTGGTAGACCTCCTGTGAGGACAATGGCTGGGAAGGCATATTAGATTTATTGAGAGACATTGGCTTGAGCTCTATGAGGGAGGGGGGTGAGCAAGGGGATGGTTGGGATCTGAGAGGAGACTCGGGACTCACAGGGGTAACTGCTTCTTTAGCATGAACATATGTCTCGGCACAGCCACTGAATATACTAAATTCCCTAGATTCGTAACTTTGGTCCCTGAACATGGATTTAATACTTGGTAAATTTGAGTCAGTGAAACCTGTATAACGGTGCCTGTAAGGGTCTTTGGGCACCATGATATTGTTATTAATAGGTTTATTCAGTGAAAGAAAGTCACCAGGATTTGTCAGATCAGCTTCTTCAATTTGCTTAGGACTAGCATGATTGTCCATGTGAACTGCTCTCAGCATCTCATTGTCAGTCCCTGGAGACATGCTCTCACTCACTTGGGGGTAGTTGGCAATTGAGACCTTCGATTTATCATCACTACTGTATCGAGAATCATTCGAAAACATACAATCTTTTCGGTCATTCGGTAATACTGTAATTGGAACTTCATATTTGCTGCTTTGGTAGGCACCATATTTAGATAGAATGTTCTTGGATGGGATGTGATCTTGGCTGCGTGATCCTCCTGGACTCTGCATGAAGAATTGTGTGAATGGGTCAAGTCTTGGACTAAACGTGGTTGCTTCCATGATGTCCTGATAGAGGGCTCTGTCATAGCTTGATCTGGTGGTGTTATGGTAACAGAGACACTCGAATGGTGGGCATGAACACATGACATCCTGGCCTGAAATGCAGGAACAATGGAATTGAAATTGTAATCTAATGCAGTAAAACCTGTCTTAGTGAACACCTCCCTCTAGTGAACACTTGTGGACATCATTGCTCCACACATACTACACTGACTTCTGTGCAAATTACCCTCTCTAATGAACACAAACCAACACTGAACGTTTTTTCAAGTGTTCAATGTACACAAGTTTTACTGTACTGAAACATTTACTTGAATAATGATTTAGTTCTAGAATGATTGTGCAATGGTCATGCCATGTCAATAAAAATTGAGAAAGCTGAGATCAATATGATCTTGCAATGGTCAATTGGTCAGTAATGGTACTTTAACATTTTAGCAACAGATTTAGCAAGGGTCAACGAAAATTATATTCAATATTTGTTTACTCTGAAAGAGTGGTTGGTTCATTGATTGATTGATTGTTTGATCGGTTTTGAGATTAATATCAGAATGATAACAAATACAAGATTTTATTTTCTCCTATACAACGTATGAGTTGTAATTTTGCAATGTGTCATTTTACTCTTTTAAATAGCTGGAAGCCATGGCTGTAAAATGTTATGAAATGAATGATAAAAATATGAGATTGAATTGAAAAGATACTACCCCAGTACCCTTTGTTAGATAATTTGGTTGTGATTGGAATAAAAAATTCTGTTAATATATTTTATGATGACACACGTACATTGTGGTAGTGATAAATTTGATATATGATCTTGAATATATCGTTCTTTTTTACACTGAGCTAATTATTATTTTATCATAATTTTATAATTATCAGCCATTTTGTTCGGGTTCATCAATAGGAGTAACGTATTGAGGAAATTAGGAGAACCTATGTTTTATCACTAATGATCATTAACAATGATTGTTATTAATTGCTAGATTGCGTTTAAGTAATTTTAGCATTCAGTAGTTAGAACTGATGCCAATTGGAAGCAACTAAACGAGCTATGATCTCTTATCGTGTAGGCCTAATAATAAACAAATGCAGATTTAACAAATTGAAACAAAGCACCTGTAGATGATTGCAATTATTAAATGGTTAATTAAGAATGGGATAATCACCTGCGGTACTGTGTAGTCGGGGAACTTTGAATCCAGAAGATAGCGCCAGCATATTGTCCAGAGATGGACGTTTCCTCTGTAATCGGCCTCTATTTGTCTGAAAACAAATTTTAATAAATTTAATATGGACGTGAGATAATTTATCATGTGGATTAATCCGATGCGATTTTTTGGCTTATAACAATGTTTTACGATGAAAATATGGTGCTACGTAGAAATAAATTATAATGTAATGATATAACTTTGTATATGTTTATTTTTTATGAAGAATATAATTGCTGCCCGGATGAAATTATGGTTTATGAACGTTCTCTATATTTGTATGAATAATGAATAATGAATGGATGGATATCTGTGCATGGTAACTATGTGCTTCAAAACTGATATTAACTTTCTCTTTATTATCTTGTTGACAGAAATTAAAACAGATACTATATGATACAGAAACTGCTTATAAGATGCATTATCCAATTGATCTTTACTTTCGTTTAATCCATGGGTTAATGCAAAATTAATGTGGTCGTGCTTGAATTATAAAGACCTTAAATGACAGTTTAGACGGTTTCATTGCTGTGAAAGCATCTGTAGGCTGATACTAGACTAGACACCTGTTAAATTAATTGTATTGCAAAGTCTCAAAGAACTTCTATAAAGTCTAATTGATAGTTCAAACACGCCGTAAGCCTCGCACAAATATCACATAATCTGCAAACATTATCTATTTCTCATGTGATTTTGTTTTATGGATTTGTTTTTATAGCTTTGAAAATACAAGTGTCATAGAATGTAGGATTTATGTCAGTGGCCAAAGCCCTGGCAGTATGAGGAACGTATGGCTTCAACCTTAAGACCGTCGCCTTATAAAAGAAATCCCTCTGTAAATCACGTTCATCGACGGGACTACGAGGAGAGATTCAAACCAATGAACGTGAACAATAAAATGCACTTAAATAATGATTAGAAAGTCATAAAACCTATACAATTTTATATTCTATTTTAATTAAGATCAAAGAGTAAACTACGGCAGAAACCCCAATCTTGCTCCCAGTAACGTTAATTTATGGAAACGTGTGTGCGATGGCAGAAAATATCTGTTGACTGCCATTAAGCATTTAATGATAGTACAGTGAAGATGCTACCTCGGCTAATTACACGGATGGCAGGTGGATATATGCCTTGTAAATTTGACACAGTTACATACAAACAGATAATAAGACTATTTTCTCTTTTGTTCAAGCTTTTTAAAACTACATTTGTTTGCCATTTGGTTGGCATTACGTCAACATTGCCAGTGACGATGCCCCGGGGTGTCTGTTTGGTTATCTTTTGGCGCACGCCTCCACTGTGGAGTACTCAACCAAGATAATTCACGAAGAGCACAAAATAGATAGTTGCCAATAATGAACCAGTAGAAAAAATGCAGTGTTTAAAATGAAGCAAATGAGCCGAAAAATTCATCACGACATTTGATATCTTAATACAAGTGCATCATTGCTCTTTTAGTCTAAGTTGATGTGGCTGCTGTTGACGTGAATACAAGTTTAAATTGACTTGTTGAAAAAAAACAGACACTATTTTTACCACGTGAGAAAATCAGAATCTGTTGTCGCCCAAAAAAAAGTAATAAAAAGATAAACAACATCTCCGGGCTGCAGTTTTGAATAAAGCCATGTGGTAATAGGCCAATGAGAAAATTAGAGAATCAACTGATTATTTCCCATTTCACCTCATTTTACCGAATTATTTTATTGCATTGATTAACATACCATGAGTTTTTTGCTGATTTTGCTTTTTGATTCCTGCATTGAAGATTTGAGCTCAGGTCGTGGATGATCATGCGTGCCCTTCCCTTGAAAATAGATGGCGCCATTTGTATGCCTCCAAAAGTGCGTTACTGGGTATCCGCAATGTCCTCTGCAGGGCAGCAATTCCAACCAACCGGAGCATAAGGAATTTGGACAACGTTTACCTGGAAATACAAAACGAAGAGTTAATTTACAGAATATTGAAAGTATAATCCAACATGTGCAACAAAAAGGTTGTGCAGTGCGAATAATACATGCAAATTAATTTCTACCAATCAATGTTTCTGGTTCTCCTTCTATTGTTATTTAAACCCCTTTCATTAATCTCATTTTAATACTTTTAATTGATATATAATCGGAATTGAAATATTTATTCAAAACTGAAAACGTGACTTTAAGAAAGTGATAGAACTGAATTAAAAGAACAAAATTAAAAGGAATGCGTTATGTAGGAATGCATTATAACTTAAAATCATATTTCCGAATGAAACTTTTACGGCAGGTGCCGGCTTCTAAATTCCTATATGAATTCTAAAAATGCCACAATGGTATAACAATAATCGTAATTTTAATTACATGTTAAGGAATTGGAAAGGGAAAGTCTACCGGTGTTTTAAAACAATAGACTGCGATCGTCTGCGACATTTCCAAGTAGTCACTCCTACACCCCGCTGTTCCTTTTTATATTTTGATTTTTTTTAAAATAAGGCGTTTATTCAAACGTTTCCAGTTTTATCAATCAAGAAATCTTGACAGTCGTTGGCTAAGCAACAATGAAGTAAAATTAAATCAATTAAAAGTAATTAAAAGACAAATAATAGAAACTAAACTGCATTTATTATTTCAAAGCGTAACAGTTTCTTGTAAAAACAAACTTTTTTCACTAGAATTGATTCTTTTGAAATAACTAACGTTACCGTGCATGGTATACTTAAAAATACAAAACTAACATGAATTATGAATGACCACATTATACTGTGAAAGGAATACAAGATGACCAACGTAAAACATCTGACTTAAAGTTGTCCTATTTAGCATTCTAATATGTAGTTTTCAGCAGATGGGAAAGCAAGATTAGCGATAACGGCAAATTACGACGAACGTAGCGGGCTACAATGGAGAGCAGAAAAATGTCATGTCTATTTTTCGACGAACCCTCCTAACTCCGGTGGAATCTGACGCCCGGCCATCGTTGGTCGGTATTTGAACTGAGGTAGTTTATCCCACTCAAGGCTAATCGTCTCAAGCGATGGTTGATACATTTAATATATCCAGCCTATTAACTATATCTTGACGCTCATGGCTGGTGGATAGAATTCTTTGGTTTTTAAGCTTTGAATAAAATAGATAACTTTGTTATTGGAGTTTGATGAGCGAAAAAGCGCATCTTAGTATAATAGGGTCGTGTGTCATTTCAGCTGCGGAAGAAAAACCGCTGATTAGGATCAAAAAGCAAACTTTTTACCAGTAGAGTAAAACTGGATCTTAAACTAATCAGTAATTAAGACCGGCCTTCAAGGTCTATGTTGTCTTTTTATCAAGTTTTGTCTATACCTATAATTGTGATTTGTTTTAATTTTCTTCCATCCGTATCCTATTGAAAGCTATGAAGTGGTCGTATAAAAGCATAATAACGATCTATGCTTTGATAAGCCTATAGACATGCGTTCGTTTTTCCATTATGGTTTCCAAGGTGTTTGCTGCTTTAATTAATAAATGCAAAAAGTGACAGTGCTCTAATAAATAGACATAATAAAATTCGTAGATTTATGCCGTAAAGCTATGTCTTCGCAACCATAACAGTATCATCTTTGTCTCCTGTCACTGTTCCCCTAAGGTCCTCATACGTGTCTTAAAAACAAACGCACGTACGTTGATTGAGTTGAAATAAAATATAAACTTTGAATTCTATTTTATGATTCCATTTTACCAAACGCATGAATAAATCAGTACAGATCTTACTGATATTCTCTTTCCATAATATAATTGTGGCATTTACGTGATTGACCCTGATGACATTTGTATTCAGAATCCAAGATGTGGGGGCAATGTGACCTACCCCCCTTGGTGCACCCAGTCTCATCCTCTGTCTCTCAAAATAAACACGTGATCTGGAACTTTTTGATAAATTAGCTTTGAATCAAGACTCCAGTCGTGCATGCCTCACAAACCCCAAGTATCAGTTCCGATTGTATAGCGGGGGAGGGAACTGCGACTCTGACAAATTCTTGGTCCCAGAGTAGAATAATAAAGATGGCATGGACAAGAAACCGATGCAACAATAGGAGATGCAACGGAAGCACATGATGATTATAGGCATGACAATGCTCACAAATGAGCAGCTTAAATATATTCAGAACAACGTTTAAGACGTGTGCCCAACCTATCCCCTATTTCCGTTACAGATCTGTATCAAATTAAGTGACTTGGCAGTTTGGATGATGGACATAATTAAACGGATTATGTACAAAATACAAATCCATTGGACTATAAAATAGACCAGACGGTAACCAAACAAAGATATGCATATCCTAGAGTCTTTAAAGCACGTGCTGGCTGTTGAAACAACTTCCAAAAACAAATCCTCGACCCTTTCACTGTATTTACACATTAGGGATATGATTAGGGGACAAGGTGTAAGGGGATGTCATACCATGCGGGTTCTACTTTACATCTTATCCCCGGCGTCTGTTTGGGACATCAAGTACTCAAAGCTACTCCACTTTCTGCTATAAGACTCTCGTAATTACGATCAAATGAGCCAGCTTTATCCTATCTTCCTAATAATGATTTGGATAGACTTTAAGAGACCTCGTGAAAAAACGACTAGACCCAATGATAGCCTAACGTACCTCGGAAGTATTTACATATGCTTATTGTATAGGGCAACATCTTAGAAACACCAGGGCATTTCAAGAAACAAACCCCCAATATCCCTAACTCTGAAATGCCGCTCGTACAAACAACACCTCATTTCAAATAAGCGTATATGCAGTTTTCACCATCATGATATACCATGACATCTCATTTCTTCTCAGCACTGAGGTGAAACAGAAAGATGCTATGAGTATCAGAATGAGTTTTCACTGGGATTGAAATCAAACTGGTAAACTGGTACCCGTGCAACTTTGGACAAGTATTTTCACAGCCTTTGTTAAAAAGAGTATTGATAATTTCTAAGCGCATTTGTAAAAGGGTTTTCAGTCTTCACCGCTACCTTACATTCCAACATTTTGAAATATTAGACACTTCAGCAAAAGCTGTTAAAAGAAAAGGCATCAATGTTTCAATCGTGCAAACTAGGAGCGATGAAGCTTGACCAAATATTCATGTTATTTATGTACTTGGCTTACCGTATTGTTTTTTCCTTGCCTTATCACAGATAGCTGGTCTCAGATGAATCTGATCGCCATTCTCAAGACGACATCGTCTGCTGCAGATCAACACCCCTAAACAAGATTTCTTCAAAATGTTTACATTATGATTGTTTGTATTTCGCATTGCCCATCCACTTGCGTGTCGTTTTGCTTCCTCCGAGCTTTCACTATATACATATCTGCAGTGCCCATCTGTCCATATCTGATATGGATCTAGTTCTGACACCTGTAAATAGAAATAGAAAATATCTATAAATTAAACGTTTAATTTTGAACTTATTAACCCCCAATAAGACCTTTTTATTGATAAGGAATCCCTGGGGTTGTTGAGTAGTAATATCTTTGTGTTATTACAGGTAAAAAAATCACAAAAATATAGTTGTGAAACATTATTTATTAAGCGGATTTATACTAAACCATGTATTTGTGATAGAATCGAAGAGCTGAGTAAAAGATGTGTTATGAATTCAGTGCCCGATTTTCAGAATAATAACCAACTGTTATCAATTATAGATATTTCAATAACTTCATATTAATGCAATTTGACAATCTCTTATCTTTAATTTAACTTCTGCGTACACGTTGGAGTAGCGTGCCTGAGTTTGCTAACAGAAGAAATACATTTATGGTTTGTCAGTCATATTTATTCTATTGATATACAAGCAATTGTGTTAAGAACAATGTTGATCAAATAAAACTTCAATTGCGCAGTTAAATATATTTTTGGTATTCTTTTTATAGGTTTCTATTTTAACGTCCAAATAAACGATTAATGGTTTTGGACATGAGAAAGGCCCGAGGAGCTATTGTCCATTAAATGACGATGGGTAAAACGAGATAAGATCACAAGCTGTTGAAAAAAAGTATTCCTAAATGGATTTTGAATCGTTTAAAAGTTTTAAACCAGCTAATAGCCGGACCTCTCAAAAACTAATCGATGTTTCAATTTTTTGTGCATTTATCTTTTCATACAGCCATTGTCAGCTGAGATTGTCATTTTCAGATGTTTTGCATCATCTTCTATTCAAATTGTAATTATTTCTTTGTATTTTACAAACAACCACTGTTTGTTTTTTGTTACATCTTGTCATAATATGTATGCAAATATTACAATTAGATGGAACAACGAGGGTATATTAATACGAGTTGCGGGGCACTGGATGCGAAGGCTACTTGAAAATGTCAAACCCCTTAAATAATTACCTTCACTCCACGTTAGGCAATTTACACTTCACTATTGTGTCTTTTTAAATGAAGTGTGGCAATTTATATCATCTCTCCCTATTGCGGCTTTATAATGACTATTAGATAGATGTTTAAAAAAAGTAAATTAGTTCATCATTCTTCCATTCATTATTTGGAAACATCAGGCATTGATAGCCCGCTGATATCCAAGGCTGAGAAAACCCAACAAAAGCAGTTTCAAGTAGGTCCACTTCGATCCCAGAACTTTAAACATGCTTAATAACAGACGCAATAAAAATCAAATATTGATAGTCAGGACACGGAGTACTTAAAATAACGAATTATTCAGAAAAAATATCTAAAAAATTATACATTTAGTTCATTTAATATGTATGATCAGTTATTGATCAGATCTTAGATGATAACAAACTATCAAAATGTCCTTTGAGATAGACGTCCTTGGATAAATCAACATGCCCCTCTGTGTTTAGCCTATATAGTTGACAATCCACACATGAAAAATGAATGGAAAGGGATATGTTATTCCCGTTTGAACTTTTGCAAAACATAACTTACAAAATACAAGATGGTATAATTATCTCAAAGGTAAAAACTAATAACTTTCCAAACATCCTATGGAACGTGAAATTTAAAAATCTGTATCAACATTAATTCAATTTATGCTTAGTAACAAAAAGTTTTTTTACTTACTGTTGGAAGGTTTGAGTCATTTATATCCCACTGATGGTCCGTTGGCCTTTGGGGCATTCCGTAAGTTGTTGCGTCTTCCAGCGTCATTCCTACCACCATTAGAACTTAGTATATCTTCAACAGGTAGTCACATAATTATATACATCACACTTTTGTTTTCATTAGCATTGTTAAACATTTCCAAGTGTGCCAGTAACCAATCAGCTACCATCAAAGTTAAATTAATAATTTTATAATTGCTGAGGAGGAATGTATTGGATATTGCTGGTAGATTCGCCAATCAGAAGTGCTGTCTATATGAATGGCACGTGCCACGCTTGATTCTAAATTCGCGTCTAAATGCGCTTGTAAAGAAGTTCCCCGGTGTTTCTTACGTATGTATCACCAAAGTCAATTAGTTTTGCCCGAGTGGATCCGACAGACTCTTGTTCAGACCATTGTCCAAGTCTCCGTTCACGTTCTTTTGTTTTTAAAAAACTTCGTCAGATAAATCCACGAACTTTGCACTCTTTTGTGACGGACGATCAATTTTTAAAAAAGATTAACGATTATTCATTTTTTATTCCAAAATGCAACAGGTTTGTGTATTTACGCTATGTCATACACACATATGACTTAAGAAAAATATCAGTTCGATAGCATCGGTCTTATTACTAATGATGACCACGTTTGGAAGGTTCAAAAGAATTTGATTAAGAAGCATAAGTTCTGTGTCTAAATTCTAATCTCTTGCTTTACTAATGAGTTCGGATGAAGAATAGGCCTAACTCCCTATTTTGTAGAGACAATGACTGAGATAAAACATGCAAACAAACATACGATTTAGTTTCTCATGTTAATTAACTATGCATTTTTGTCCGAAACGTTTTGAAAATATGTATCTTGACTTAAAATTGTTTGGATTATTTTTCTTACAGCTATCCTGTGTACAAAGAGTACTCTTAAACCATTATTCTGTGGTTTACAAGTGCGTCTTAAATAAATACCATTTCAGCGCATGCATTCCAGTGTGTGCTGAATTCGTCAGACAATAATATAATTGCTTCTATAGATACTTCTTTGTAAATTACGATCGATTTGGATTTCATTTTCGGCAAAATTACACTCCTGAAAATGTTTGCCGTCATTGTCAAAACAATTAGGTGGACTATATTTGGAATGTAAAGAAACAATTTTTGTCAAACTGGTATATCGATATTATTTTATTCAATGAATACATTAAATAGACACTGAACGTTAAAGTACATACACGTTTAAAGTACACTCTCTTTCATTACTCCGTGGTTTACATTACAGAAAACAAGAGGGACTTTCCAATTAATTTAATTGTCTGAAAGCAGTATAGGGTTTTCAAAGACTCAACCTTTTGGTATCCATGGCAATTTCTTCTTCATTAAAGATTTTCATTGGTAAGAAAGGATAAACAATTTCAGATTTGCATTACATGTGTTATTGGCAACTACATTTTGTTACAGAATGGCACATAGGAGTATGTAATAATGATATATCAACCATCCTAAATAATAACAAAGAATTTCCCGACACGCCAAGTTCAAACATGGAACTGTAGGAATACATTTGAATCCAATCCAAGATGTAATCATCAGGTAAGATTATGACACAATAGTATTGAAATGAAGAACTTTTTGAAAGAATCTCAAATGAAGTGAAAACATTTCCTTTCGCTATTGAAAGACGCAAGAACAATCTTATATCAGCAAGTGATCTTGAATATCAGTATTTTCAGTATGGGTAAGGTCAGAAAAGTGTAGACTTGCACTTAGAAGATGGATACTGTCGATGGGCGTGTCGGTCATCAGATATGAAAACAATCCCCTTTTGTAAATAATTAAGCATGATCTTTTTGTTTTTATTACATAAAGGTCCATATATGGCAGTCAGCTGTACGTCAAACAGATCAATTTGTGATTAATTTGAAATTTTACTACATGATCAAATACGGATGAAATAAAATAATAAAACCATGAAGCAGATGCTCGTACGGTGGTTGAACATGTCATCTCTTTCCTGGCTAGATAATTAAAGGTTATCGAGAAAAACCAAATGCAGACCAAAATGTAACTTAACATCATCCCTGTTGGACGCACTGTTAACGCTGTTTTTCACGGCAGCTGATACCGTAGATGTTAGACCACGTTCGGTAAAGATAATCCCATATACAGGTTGAATAGTTATTATTATTTTACCATATACAATATTTAACCATGCTTTCTTTGATATGATACCAAACAATTGCTCTCTTTTTATTATTATTATGTTTTACTTTTTATCCTATCGTTTAGACAAACATTCCTGTATTTGAGACTACAAGGATTTTTTCATTGATTTATTTGAAATTGTTGATAGCAACAATTTCTAAGAAATGATGTAACAGCTGAATATGAGGAAACGGTTATCGAGTTCCATAGGGGTATTTGTTTATATATCTTGAAGAAAATAGCATATCAAATTGAAATAAAACAAAGGTAAAATTCAATTTTTCCAAATCCATCAACTTTCCGCGATTCGTTACTATTCTATTCTCCAAATCCCTCGGAATGTCTCCTTCCGGTCGACCTTATATTTTTGCGTTTGTAAACTAAATACATATTAAATTAATATTCAAAATCAAGAATGTATTGGCTAAATACATCTCCATGGGATTTTAAATAAGTCCCGAGTGTTAATCAATCATAACTTACTCAAGATCAGATGATGATATTTTCGCGAAAGATTTGCTTGTCTGCTATCTCATTTCATGACAAAGTTCCTCTTTCAGCCTTATCAGACTTGGAGAAACGGCAGCGGAGAGATATGGAGACAATATGGGGGAGTATTAGACTCCGTTCGAACAAGGACCGCTAGCTGATACAGGAAAAAATGCAACAGACTGCATATAACGTGCATTTTCCGAGTACCATTTTGATATTCACTTCATCTCTTTTAAATTTTTAAAACGGATACGAGATTCAAAATGAAGAAATTTCCATTGTACAATTGCGAAGTAGTTTTCACACAGATGAGATGACAATTTTGGATTCGTTGGATTCATAATATTGCATCATCAAAGATTTCTTTGATTTCTGAAAATTTATAGTTGCAAAGGGATATTTCTAAAACCATAAAATATGCTAATTTTAAAATGCACTATTAAATCAACAAATGGGAAGATTTTTCAATATCTAATGAAAAAGTTAGCTTGGAAAACTGGAACGAAAATAAATGTGTTTTCTTTCAAAATTCTCTCAAAATGTTTTTATTCTTTCTGTCAAAATGGCTGGCGCATTGTCTATCATGAATATTTTACCAATGTCAATGTCAATGCTGTATTTTATACTATAGGGGTATGCATCATTATGGGTTCCAAAGCGTTTACTATCTCTGGAAGAGCTTTTGAAAAAGATGGACTAATGAATCAGAATAAATATGCACCACATTTTCCATTGTATTTATACATAGTATCAAGGACAATTTTTATGGACAAGTGAGGGTGTTATCTAAAGGAGTTGTTTCTATGATCAATTGCTCAATGGCAGATAGGGATAATAATACTGGTTGCATATGTAATCTAAGATCTGTAATAGTATAGTAGTTTAGTTTTTATGGATGTACGATTGGTCTGAAGGCAGTATGACATTCAAATCCTATAATATGTCCATGTATGTCAGAATTAGTCTTATTTGGTGGGATTTGTCAGAATTTGTTATTTGCTGGGATTGTCTGTGTTAATGAAAGGTATCTTTATTACCACCATAACTTAAATCGGAGAATATATATCATTTGATTTATCATTTTAGGAGATATTATCGCAGGTATATATTGTATGTGCTGCTTGTAATGACACCCCCTTAATATCCCTTGTTTTTATTTATTGATTTGAATTTGATTTTGCTTTCACGTCCATCCTTCCTCAAGGAATTGCGCTTTGAGAACAGAGTTATTTTATTTAACATCATTATATACAGCATTGTAAGCGGTATTGGCCCTGTAAGACTTTGTTAATAAACTCATGTGGAAGAGTATACCATAAATGGAACTTTTATCTTACACTCACTGTGACACTATTTCGTTTTATAAGTTCTCCATTCTGATACTAATCACATATTACTAGAAACTACAAGAAATAAGCTAAGAGAATGCCATGATATCTCATTATTGTTCTCATGAGAGTAATTCCTTTGGAAAACACAATGTCCCATGTTATTGTCCCATAGGGAAAACTCTTGCTTTCAGCTTAATTTTGATCACCCATAATGGATATCTTTAAAATCCCTGAAGGGGCTAACTGTGTGTCAAAACGCAACATAGTGATGCAACAATAATTGAAAAACAGAAGTAGAAGGGGTTGAAAATCAGGACAACATTTCAGAAAAACATGTGGGTGGGTTGTTTGCATCTTCCCTGTCTCTCAACGTCTCTCTTATCATCTCTATGAGAGGAGGTAATGGATTGGCCTAACATATGCACCTGTTTAGTCCTCTTAAGGCATTATTTACTGAATGTAACAAAAAATGCTAAGTAGCTCGGGTTTTTCGAGATGCACTTTTCTACTTAGCATTTTCTACACGTGTCACGTATTTAAGTCGAAGGTCATTTTTCACATTTTATTTTTCAATTGATTTTTAACTAACTAATTTGTGTTACATTCTCCATTCCTGAGTTAGGAAGAATGCTTAAAAGATAGCTTCGCCTCCATGGTATAACCTTAAACAGTTTACACACTACCTATCTTGTACGCAGATACATTTCAAGGAGACCAAAGTTGAAAACTATATTGCTTTTCTTTAAAGGTCATTTGAGTGGCAAGGGTCAGGTCCAAATCCATTTTATGGAAAAATAAATGTTAGTGAAACTTTTTACTGAATAGCTGAAACTTGATTTATTCTCGGTTTTAAGAGGGTAAGGCTGGGTCAAAAACATCTTCACAAACGAGTGTTGGTTTTGTTATTTATTTTTCCTAAAACGTATATTTAGTTGTTAAAATGTGTTGAAGGTAATTAAGGAATATTTGGTGTCACAACGTCCTTTGTCACATGACTGTCACACGTACTAAGTGCAGTTTTTCACTATTAAGTCGAAATTTCATCTTTATGGCTACATAAATTATATATAATTTATGTAGCCATAAAGATGAAATTTAATAAACTACATCATTACCATTTTAATCGCTGGGTAATAAGTATGTTGCTCTGATCCATGGTACGTGTAAGATTGACCTTTTATTATGCAACGATAATTTTTCATGAGGTCATGTGTCTATTATGACACTTATTCAGACAAAGCCCGCATTTCGGTTTTCCCCCTTCTCTTTTTTGTTCTGGAATAAAATGTTTGGGAAAACAACAATACGTTCCGAAGCAAAAATTATTTATCTGCAAAATAATGCTAAGAACCAGTATGTACTGATGACAGAACAATCACAATGTAGAAAACTGATGATGTAAAGGCTGCAACAGGTTATTAGGTGCATCATAATCTATGGGCCTAACAACCATGACGTTTGCTCGTTTGTACGTGTTGTGGCAGAGCATCTCGGAATCATTAACATAGGATGCAGGCATCTCGATGGAATTTTGCTGTAACCCCCCCCCCCGTCCCCTCTGTTTTATAATCATATATCAACGTTAAGGGTCACTACACCCTATCATGATATATTCATTTCATCTCAGCTCTAATGCGATAAGTATCAAAATGACCATCAATAATAGTGAACCAGAAAGATAAAATGCGAAGAATATCAGAATGGATGTCACAGAAAGATGTTACGAATATCAAAATACACAAAAATGCGAAGAATATTAGAATGGATGTTACAGAAAGATGTTACGAATATCAAAATACACAAAAATGCGAAGAATATCAGAATGGATGTTACAGAAAGTCTAAGATGTTATGAATATTGGAATGCATGTCACGAAAAGATGTGATGAGTATCAGAATGCATAAAATTGTGAAGAATATCAGAATGGATGTCACAGAAAGATGTTATGAATATCAGAATTATTGTCCCTGCTAGTAGGAGAGAAAGATGTGATGAATATATCAGAATGAATATAAATGCGAAGAATATCAGAGTGAATATAAATGCGATGAATATCAGATTTCATGTCACAGAAAGATGTGATGAGTATCAGAATGCATAAAAATGGGATGAATATCAGAATGAATGTCACAGAAAGATGTTACGAATACCAGAATGCATAAAAATAGGGTGGATATCAGAATGGATGTCACAGAAAGATGTTAAGAATATCAGAATGCAAGTCACAGAAAGATGTGCTGAGTATCAGAATTCATGTTGCTAGAAAAAATGGAGGGAGGAAAGATATATAGAAAGATATATAGAATATCAGAATGCATGTCACTAGTTGATCAGAACGATGTGCTGATTAACAGACTGCATAAAAATACGATGAATATCAAAATATCAGAATGGATTCGCAAAAAGTCTATAATTAGTAACAGAATGCAACTCGCTTGTGAAACAGAAAAATATGATGAGTAACAGAATGTATGTCGCTAGAGATACATAGCCTAAATGTGATAACTATCAGCATGAGTGTCATACAGTTAAACGGAAATATCAGATAAATATCAGAATGCATAAAAATGCTATGGATATCAGAATACATATTGCAGAATGAATATCAGAATGGGTGTCGCTAGTAGAAAGATGTGATAAGTAGCATCAAAATCAGAACACATGTCGCAAGTTAAACTCAATGATGCTCCACAAAGATACAAGAGAAGAGCATGTGAAATGTCACCACCTGTCATTTGTTACAGACGCCGACCTCTGAACGTAACCGCCGAACGCCGATCACCAACCTCCGAACCATGAGCACCAATCGTCGAACGCCAAACACAATCCACAAAAAAAGTTGGAGACTATAACAATGACTATATAGTGACTATCGGAATGCATGTCGCAAGTGAAGCACAATTATGCGACGAGTATTGGAATCAGAATGGTCGCTGGTGAAACCGTGGTGAAACAAGATGATGTGATGAATATCAGAGTATCACATGACAAGCCTGACCCTGTATAGCCTACATTCACTGGTCTATGCATCAGATGATACTAATGTTAACGAGAGATCGTATCATCCATGATGGTAGACAAAATTCGTGCGATATCAATAAACCTTCGATTTCAACGTAAGATCTGGATTCAAAATATTTCATCATGCAAACTAATAAAGCTCTGATTGTAAACAAGTGCAAAGAAATGTCCAAATCAATGACTCCGAAATAGGGGAGTTTGAAGAAAATGGCTTTGAAAAGGATGATACTAACTCAAACGGATGATGATTGATGATACTAACTTATGATTATATTCACCGTTGGAGAAAATAAGTTTTTTTCATCTGATTTGAGCAGTGTGCCATAAAGTCTATCATGGTGAATTTTCTCGACCTTGCTATGTGAGTGAAGTTTGACTGCGTTTGTGAACCCAACAATTATTAAAAATATGTTCTGATAGGTTTGGTATAAGAAAGTGGTTGGGGATGGGGAAGTGATGGAAGGAAATTTGATGAGAATCTGTCACATGAACTGTGGACAACGAGCTAGTATGATGTTTATTACTTTCAATAGAGTAAAAACGGAAGTTCGATTTTCCTAGACTAGACTGTTGAATGGTGTGGTGCAACCCGGGGCTGCAACAAGGTAACTTGTGGTGTGGTAGGAGGAGCGATTATGAGTGTACAATTGAGTCCTGAACATACTTGTACTACTGTGGACGTACAAATTACCCAAAGCGTGGCTCATTATACAGTGCGTACCAAAAAATGCAACAGATTGTTATCTTGGAAAAGCACAAAACCAGTGATAACAGCATTGATTTCATTCAATGCACCATAAAGCCACGTGTCTCCTCTTTACAATGATATATCATTCATTGATATTTGGTCATGGTTGGGCGAGTAATCATTCCATTTGCAAAGTGGGCCAAAATTAGCTTCGGGCCAAGTTATAAACATTGCAGGATTAAAACATGAAACCAATGCTGACTGCATCCTTTTAATTCAATGTACCAAAAGCCAAATTACTCCTCTTTGTAATGGAATATCATTCATTCACAGGGAGTCATCTCTGGCCGAATAATCATTAATTAATTTTAAGTTGGGCAAATTTCAGCTCGGACCCAAGTTTAAAACATTGCAAAAGTCAGTACAAGGGGCATAGGGGCTATTGGAAGAAGGTGTGACAGGCTTGGCATAGACAGTAACATGTTCATACTCATACTCTTGCAAGAAAACATCCTATACCTCGCCACCACTTCCTTGCACATAAAGATGCGCTCATCTGTCCACGTCATGCATGGTTCAGCCCTGAATCACGTGTGGGTTAAAGCAAAGAAAACCAGCCCATGGGCAAATCTTTCTCGAGGTTTTGCAATATCTGGTGGAGGAATTGTGAGCACAAATGCTCCTGACGGATAGCTCCAGAAGAAAAAGTCACAACAATTCAAGTCAGGGGAACCTCCATTGCCACTTACATGACTTAGCCCTTGCACTGATTTTTTCAATATCTAAAACTTGGTGCAGAACCGATTTTGACCCACTGTACGTGCACATGGAAGGATTTCTCACCCAACCATTACCACATGTGAATGAATGACATATCATTGCAAAGAGGAGAGACGTGGCTTTATGGTACATTAAATGAAATTGATGTAGTCATCACTAGTTTTGTACTTTTACGAGATAACTACTTGTTGCGTTTTTTTGATACAGGCTAAGTGAGCATGATTTGTGATATTTACCATAGGCTTTGGTGTGGCTTTACTTCGATTTTTGAAACCGTCAGTCATTAGTCATGGTTATAACTTATCAGGCCAGTCATAGTTATATTCATGGGAACACTTCTTAATTATCACCATGAACCTAGCCTAACCTAAATGAACCATACTTGGACCAGTAGAATTGCGCATTTTGAACTACAGTCAGTCTTACTTACGAAGCTGAGTAGATCTACTGGTGAGATGAAAACAATCGCGCAATAATCTCCATCAAGATCCTACCAGCAGTGTTGAGCCTATTCTATTGTTCAACTGAATAACATTCCGATACATGAAACACCAATGCAACAATCCATAGATAGCAATGTGGAAGCATTCGATCTGTATTTTACGAGGGTTATCGATAAATATAGCTTATGAAGTGTCTAATAAACTTAAAAACACGTTTAAGATTTGTTTATATATTTTGTGTTTCTTAGATTCGTGTTGAAGACATTTAACAGGACAAAGAAGAAACTTTTTCAAAGTTTTAAAACTTTTGTGCTATGGTTGGATACCATAAAAACTTGTTTCAAATTAAGCTAAATGACTTGGTCCAAGTAGCCTATGTATGCTCAGTAGGCATAGACCTTTCAATGTAGTTACCCCAAAAGTTGTAAGCTAATCTTTTGAATCTAAAATATCTTTTCGACTTAAATAGTTAGCATCAAAATGTGTGAGTCTCCATCCAAAGTGGCCTACAAGTAGGCCAAGACATTGTTGCTGGGAGAGTGGGGGATGGGTCGCATGCAGTGACCCGTCGTCTGGGACTCTTAATACCATTTTAATCTGATGATGTATAAAAGAAAATAATATGCCTGGGAAAGCTTACACAATCATTGAATTGTTAAAAACCATGACAGAGTACTGTTAGGCAAGAGCGGAAGATGGAACACGGGTTCAACACACTTGCGTCTCAGGATTCTTTGTCATAAGTAAGCCACTCCTGTACAAATGATAAGCCTTTGCAGCTTAACATCTTTACGCAAAATTGAAAAGAAAACACAAGACAGATCAAAGCTTGTGTCAAACATAATGGTTCAAAGGATTTGTGGTCGCATTTGCATGGGGAACAGGCGAACACGCTCTTAGCGCAGCTGCCAAGAAGAGCGCGAGTCAAGACCTCAGCCTGTCGACCCAACGCAGCTAGTTTGTCTGCATTATACCTATTAAAATGGGAATCAACACACGTATTAACATGATGTCACTGTTCTTTATGGAAATATAAAGGAACCATACACACAGAGCCAGGTGGAAGAACATAAGTGGTCTCCAAATTCGTTCAACGGGACGTTTGCGAGACGAAAAAAGCGTGTTTCAGTAAGCATAACAAGGTAATGACAACCCAAAGTCGAAATCAAACACATTAATAACACAAACTGTAGTGTTTTATGACATATATATCAAATCACTTGACTATTCCGTCTCAAATAACCAAGAAAAACAGCTGTAAAAAGCCCGAAACAGTAATCCGCTCTTGGCTGTTTTGCGCAAGTGAGTTAGTGTAATTCAAATTTCCCGCGTAATAACTCTTTAGCGATCCCATAATGCTTTGTTTGCCTTACAAGTAGATTGAGCTGTACGGTGAGTGAAATCAATCGTCTTTTGTGCTGTTATTTTCAGCAAGTATACAGTTATTTGGTTACATTTCTATGCTTTTAAAGGTAGTAAGGTTATCAAAATCTTTTGTAAAATGGAATGGGCTTTAATGTTTGAATAAATAGTACTTTTGTCGATATAATCACTTGATAGACTATTTGTGAAATGTAAGACGGAAAATCTTGAAAAAAGAAAATTCATCATTTTTTGCTTTCATTTAGTTTCCTGATTGTCCCATTGGTCTGCACTAATACATGTAATTGTTATGTAGCTTATTTTTTTATTTTTAACTCAGTGACCATGAGTTTTCAAGTTCACCTTCTGCATGGCTTCACTTTTGATGATGAAGTCAACGTTCTAACTAAGGGCTAATTTTAGTCAAAGCTATTTTAGGCTTAGGCTACTCACTGCCAAGAAAGCTACAGTTTGTTGTCAATGATGTGAGCATATTATCAAAAACATCTACATAAAGCCTTTAGACATTGTTTTCAAGTTCATTCACTTTGATTGGTCATTCATTGACTGCATTGACTCATTGTCATTATTCTATGACCCTGATGTCTAGCCTAAACTGTATGTATTGAAGTATAAAAACATTTCTTGTACAAAATTGACAGTATTCTCTATAACTGATCGTCTTTAAGTCATGTTGCAACTGTACCTCTCATTTATTAATATCTAATTTCTGATTGTTGAAAAATAATATGGACTAACTGCCTTTGGTCGCCTAGAAAGATTATGTCCCCATGCTAAGTAATGCCATCTTCTAATATAGAATATATATTTTTAAGTAGTCTAATTCATAACTTGAGAGATTGTACCATATTTTGCAATACTTGCCAATGATATTCAACATATTCAGCCTTTTAGAATATAGATACAGTTATCTCTGATTGAATAAACAAACCAATATGTTATTTTATAACCGTTTATCATGATGGCAACATATCAATTTCTCGTGACATAAAAAATTGACGTCTCACAACTTAAATAACTTTAGATTTTGGGCATGAAAGTATATTTGTTCTCGACTTGTACCTAACTAAAACACAGATTCTGTATTGGAGCTAGATATATTTTATACATACTTTGTTGACAAGAGGAATACTAAGCATAGGCTCTAGTTCCATTTTCTACCTGTCTTTGGCACATATTTACATGAATGACCTTGATGGGGTTTGATTTGCTGGCCCTTGAAGTATATATACATTATTCTGTACATGTATTCCTATAATTGGAAAGAAATTATATATTTAAAATGTGCAAATGTCAGAATAAGGAACATTTACAGTTTTGACCAAAATTGAGTTGATCTCATTCTGTTCAAGGGTAATTTTTCAAGAGTACTATTGTGCATTAGTTTTTCTACTTTACATGATAGACTGCTATTATGGAATAAAGAGATAAACCACTGATCAGGATATAGAGAAGTTTCATCTTCAGTAATAACAGTACCTCCGATGTTTATGTTACATTACTTTTATGTTGTTTTATTTCCTAAATAACAATACAGGATACAAATGCAATCTCAATTAGATAACAATCTGAAGGGCATATAATCAAATGTAAAAGAAATAATATTTACAAGAAGCAAGAATCATTCTATCAGTGTACGAGGGTTGTCCCAGAAGTGATGCTCTAACTTTCTTTAATATTCTAACAATTCAGCTGAAATTTTGTGTATATTGCAATTGAAGTGTTATCTATCATATCCTGAAGTTTCAGCATCAAACATCAATGTTAGGTATTAAAATCATTGCTATAGCAACACGGGGTAGGGATGGACGGGGCAGGTGCCAATTTTTCTAATCATGAAAAGCTGTAAAGTGTTATTCTATTTATATCTCTTTCTTTTAAATGATTTGGAAATAATAATTAAAATATTTGGAAAATTGGGAAATTTATTCAGCATGATGTTTACCAATTAGTATTGTGATTGCACAATGCCACAGTTTAATAGTCAAAAATTAAAATTCAGCGTTCGGTGGCCCAAGTTAATAATTCACGTGGACTCACAGCCACACAAACTTATGATACCATGTATAAAGTATGTAAGGAGAATAAAGCAGATACAACTTAAATTATGAGGTGGGAATAGAGATCTAAAAATGATGACCCTGGATGATAACCCCAAACCTGGGAGGTCAAACACCTCACTTTGTCACGGTGGAAGAAATTGCTAAGAGCGTACCAGGACTGGGTGAGAAGGCATCAAAACTATATTACATGCCAAGGCCTATATTTTAAGATAATGTAAAATGGGACACTTTACAATATACATCCATTAAATCTAGGATGTGCTCCTTATAATCTAGCATCTTAAATTATTATAGTATCAACATCGTATTAACAATCGAAATGAAACTTTGTAGAATGATGAATCACAAATGATGGCAATCCTATAATGTACATGAATTCTCAATCCAACAATGCCTGTTGAGACAATGCTTGCTGTAAGTATTATAATTTTTTATTATATAACATGTACTTTAATTAGTCTTATGTGAAATGTCTAGTACATGTACTTATTTTGTTGCAATTATTTTTATATTCCATGCACTCAGTCTTTTAGGTTGCGCTTTGAGCTTTCATATGATGCAAAGTTGATGTTAGGTAAGTGTGTACATTTGGAATTCTTATGCAATCCTCATCCATTGGAGCCGCATGTTATTTTCAAAAACACATTACCCATTTCATTTCTAAAATCTATGAAAAATGAGAAGATTCAGTGACTTACTTATTTTTGACTTTTAAAAAGTAGGTCACTGAATTTTCTCATTTATTGAACATTTTTCTTTTCACTATATTCATTCTCATCTAGGTACATTAGTGCACTCTTTTTGCAAAACTGAAAGATGTAGACTGTAAATGGAATGAGTTATATGTGTTCCTGAAAATAACACGTGTCTGCAATGAGTTTCATAAAATTCCAAACCTACATATTTACCTTAACGTTTTTTTTGTGTTACCACCTTCTTAAGGTAAAAAAAATCAAAACGGTATTTTTTTAACTTGCTTCAAATTGACCAATTTTTTTTTTCAAAATCATCTAGAAGTTCTCAAAAGTTCAAATCTTTAGGTCTCTGTTTTTTGTGACGGCGGTTGGTGGTTGGTGATCGGCGGTTGGCGATCGGTGGTTGGTGGTTGGCGTCTGTAACACATTCTTAAAAGTTCCAATAACTTAGCAAATATTGTTTAGATTGACTTCATTTTTTTTTTCAAAATCATCTACAAGTTTTCAGAAGTTCAAATCTGACTTTATATATAAGATTTGACCCTCATTGACCTTTTTAGGTAAAAAAGGTCAAAAAGGTATTTTTTCAACTTGCTTCAAATTGACCATTTTTTCAAAAGCATCTACAAGTTATCAGAAGTTATCTGACTTTAGATTTGAGATTTGACCTTCATTGACCTTCTCAAGGTCAAAATGGTATTTTTGAACTTGCTTCAAATTGACCAATTTTATTTTCAAAATCATCTAGAAGTTCTCAAAAGTTCAAATCTGACTATAGATTTTATCTTCAATGACATTCTAAAGGTCAAAAATATATTTGACCTTCAATGACCTTGTCAAGGCCAAAAAGGTCTTTTTTCAACTTGCTTCAAATTGACCAATTTTTTTCGAAATCATATATAAGTTCTCAGAAGTTCAAATCTGACTTTAGATTTGAGATTTTACCTTCAATGATCTTATCAGGGTCAAAAAGGTATTTTTTCAACTTGCTTCAAATTGACCAAATCTGACTTAAGATTGAACTCATAATATTGTGAGCAACTAGGTGGTGACATATTGTCATGTTATGCCTGGCATGAATTTGATCTTGTATGACATAGTGGACAGTTAATTCAATCAATTTAATACTAGTATTCAATTGAAAAATCAATATATTTTTCCAGCCGCAATATTGCATTATTTTGTTTTCTAGTTGCAGAGTATTTTGAAAAACTCCAACAGTGATACATGTTTGCAAGAACTCCAAAGATTTGTTGAGAGAGGTACAGAAGTAGTTCAGCTATGCTCCCGAAATGACTGTAAAAGGATTTACAGCATTTTAAAAAAGGTAAATGTATTTTTATAATTGTTTTGTTTTGTTTACTAAAGACATCTTGACCAATCCAAGGTATTTCACAAGAAAGGCAATTGAGTGAACCCCTTGTCAAAAATTCTTTCAAAATCATGCAGTTTTCACCATTTTGAGCACTGTTCAAGTGGTTTTGGGCCAAATAAAACGCTCAAATCTGAACGCTCTCTTGTAATTTTTAAAAACTGAACACCTATTGGTAAAAGGGCCAAAGAAATGTTTAATGTGTAGCATTATTTAAAATGTTGGTGGGTGAATGGTTTTCACTTTTTTGGGCCTACTTTATTCATGTACTTTCTTTGAAATATGAATTTGACTTTTATTTTTTCCCGGATTATGGAATTGGAAAGCTCTCACATTTATTTCATTCTTGCCTACAATAAACTTGTGTGTGTGTCAGTAGGAGTCATTTCCATACAAAGTTTTAGTAAATGTAATTAGAGAAACAAGAAACAAAACAGCACTTATTAAATTCCAAAATGATTGAATATGATAAATAGCTCCCTAATTAGCTGGACCTACTAATTAATTTGATTAAAAGCTAATTAGCTGCTACACCTCCAATGATCTTGACATGATCTAGACCCAAGGAGCAAATTATGCTCACCAGAACTCACATCCAGGATCTTTTCTTGACTGCAGGAATTACCTATCCATCATGAATTCAATTGTTAGCAATAATTGACTTTTCATTTTTAGTAAATGGTGAAAAAGGGATGCTGAACGAACTTTTGCATGACCATTGATTAGTTAAAATTATGTAAACTATATCTAGGTTAAAGGTCAAGATCTAGGTCAAGTCTTATATGTTCAACAATTTGCCAAATGTTTTTATTTATGTTTTTTATTCATCATGACCTACTTATATCAAAGCCCAATAGCTCATCACAATATAATCTGGCTATATTCTGCACTCCAAGCATTAAACCTATCACAACCAACCTTTTCGATCAAGCACAATCGAGAGGATCACCAATAACACAACGCAATAAACCCAAACCCAAAATAACAAAATGCAATGAGGCATAACACAACCTGACTTAAAACCACCACAAAAACATAACCCATTGTCAATATACACAACACATACAGGGTGTCCGGAAAGTAAAGATACAAATGCTCTAATTTCAATAGATTTACCTGTTGTGAGATGAAATTGCAACAGATTGTAGAATGACATTTTAACAATTTATCCTGCAACTATCATGACAAATTGATTCAAAATGAAAAAGTTATGGTTGTTATGGTAACGGTAGTCCCGGTCATGTGGAGCAGCGTCACAATTATGTTTTATTATTCTTTTCTCCTACTTATATCATCTTGACACTCAATCATCTGTTGCTATTATACATCAAATAATGTACCACAACAGCAAAAGAAGTAGTACTGTAACATTATTTGGTCCTTTGACAATACTACTGTTATCCAGTATTATGTATTTCCCAACATTATCTAAACATTCGTGGTGTATCTTGACCAGAGATTCATAGACCTGACAAAACCGCTGCTGTCCATCTCTCAGATTACTGATAAAATTGGCTTCAAGCAGTCTAATTTTCATGTTGAACTTCTAACAAATATTGCTTTAAGATATTCAATAATGTAGAAGTCCAATGGGGCATTATCAGGGTAATATGGGCCATTGTACAAAAAAGGATTAATGTCAAGACATTCAATTGTAAGATTTGTTTTCTTTGCTTTGTGAATTGATGCATCGTGGAGGTGCACTATTGCCTTTCCTATTAATCCAGGGACCTTTTTTCTAAGCACTGATATAATGTTTATTTGATTAAACTGGTTAGTGGCATTACATAGTTCTGATATGTATCAGTGATATCATTATACTAAAGAGAATACTTTGGCAGCAAGAATACAATATTGAACAAAACAAAATATTGATAGGAAATAGAATAATAAACACCGTCTCAAATGGTTAAATTCTAGCAATTCATGACAATTTAGAGATATCATGGAACTGCTCCGCATACCCCTGACCACCGTAACCATGACAATCGTAACTTTAACACATTTAGACTTTATGTTATAAAAGTTGGTAGATGTATTGTAATATAGTTCCCCCACAATCTGTAGCAATTTCATTACAAACAACCTAAATCTCTTAAAATTAGAGTGTTTGTATCTTTACTTTCCGGACACCCTGTATTGTTATATTAACACAACACAGTGTTGCACAATCCAACACCAAACCATTAAAACAAAATCATGTCCAACCAAAAAAATACAAGCAATATATACAACCAACTTTTTCCAACCGGAGACAACAGCAATCACACAACACAATCAGGCACAACTCAACACCTCACCTGATTGGACATAATCTGAGCCACTACCAACATAAGACAGTCAGTAAATAGCATAAACTCATTGTTAAATGAAAACCACAATAAGGCATAACCCAATCCAAACTAGCATAACACAACCAGGGACATCAAAACAATCAACCACCTAAACACAACTGCTATATCAAACTAACACAACCCAATAATAAACCAATGCAACACATCAGACAAAACCAAACCAAACATAACACATTGTTGAATTAACAAAACACATTCAGGTACAACCAATAAAACAAAATCAGACTGTGATACCAATATACCAACCAACTCTCTCCAACCAGAAACATAGAAACACACAACACAATCAGGCAATACGTGATAACTCACTCTATTGTGCACAACATTCCACCTGGCCAGCATAACATAATTACAACATTACATTAAAGAATCCAATGTCATATTGGTGTAATACAATATGGCACACCCCACAAACTAACATAACACAACCAGGGACGACCAGAAAAACAACCATGGAAACAACCATCACAACTGACTGTCAACTTAACACAACCCAATCAGGCGCAATCCAACGATAAACCAAGACAACACAGCTGATAAACCAAACTAAACACATCCATTGTTGAATTACACAACACTCAATCACAATCAATAGAACAGAACCAAACTGTGATATTAATATACCCAAACAGTTCCCTCACACCAGAGACAATATAAATCACACAACAACATAATCTGGCACCACCCAATACCTCACCTGCATGTCCCCAACCTACCACTTGCCCTGCATAACACAATCACAACATTACATAACGCAACCAATTGTCAAATTAACATAATAGAATATGACATGGCCCAATAACAAACTAACATACCATAACCAGGCACATTCAGACAAACAACTACCAAAACACAACCAACTGTCAAACTAACAACCCAACTGGCACAATTCAATATAATAAACCAAAACAACACAGCTTAGTTATCCCGCAGAACAAAGTTTAGGGGGATATAGAAAAGCTGTCCGTTCATCCGTCTGTCCGGGCAGTAACTCAAACATTGGTTGACAGATTTGATTCAAATTTTAAAGGTTTATGCTTTATGGGTGTAGGACCTCTGTTAGAGAAGAAATTTTCAATATGGGCTCTCCATTCAAAATGGCCACCATTTTTCGTAAAAATGTAGTCTATGATAACTCAATTACTAGTGGACTAGTGGATTTTATATGCTGATGCCTAGGGACAAAGGAGCTTTTATTCAAGAAGAGATTTTCAAGATGGCTGCTGATTTTCAAAATAGCCGCCATTTTTTGCAAGAAAACGTAATCTTTTGATAATAACTCAAATACCAGTTAATGGATTTCATTCAAATTATATATGCTGATGCTTAGGGACACAGTTTCTTTGTTCGAGAAAGAATTTTCAAGATGGCAGCCATTTTTCCATTAGAAAATGATAACTTAAAAACCAATGAATGGATTTAGTTCAAAGTTTATATGCTGAAGTCAAGGGACACTCAAGGAGGATTGGAAGCCAGGGTTCCAACTCGATATTCTTTAATCTCCACGCATGCGTCATTTGCTATTCGTGTCTGTATAATTTGTACGACTGCATGGAGAATGACCCGATACTCTCCAACAAAGCTATCGCTAGGTGATTGTTTTGCAGAATATCGGTGTTGCATTCTGGGAGCCAATCCTCCTTGGGGACACTGTAGCTCTGATTGAGAAAGGATTTTTAAGATGGCGTCTGAATTTCCAAATGGTCATAATTTTCCCCCCAAAAAAACAAATCTTTGATAACTCAAATACCAGTAAATGGATTTAGTTAAAATTGTTTATGCTGATGCCAAGGGACACAGTAGCCCTGTTGGAGAAAGGATTTTCAAGTTGGCAGCTGAATTTCAAAATGGCTGCCATTGTTCGTAAAAACCTTATATCTGAACAGATTTGAATTAAATTTTAGAAGCTGGTATGCTCTGTTCAAGATGAAATTTTCAAGATGGCCAGTAATTATCAAAATGTGTTTTGTTCCGTGGGATTTGCTACTCTATGGAGTTGCTGTTTTTTCTAGTTTATAAAATCACAAATTCAAGTTCAAAAATGACCTCACCAGGCATTTTTTGCAAGGAGGCATTTGCATCGGGTTATATCCATTGTTTGTTTTTATTGCAACATATTTTATTATTATTTTATATAATTTTGGGAATATACTAATAACTAAAGACCCTTCGACATGCAGCCTGCACTTTCAACCTTTGACTTGCTGAGTGTCCAGAATTTCTTGGAATGTTTTTATTAAAATCCCTTCGACTTTCAACTGGGTACTTTGATTTATTATTTAGAGCACAAACATTACCAATATTCACTGGTTTCACACTTACTCACATTTAACTGCAAATATAACCGATTGATTTGGATACAGAAAGGCCGTCTGTCCGTTCGTCCTTCCGTTCATATTTCAAAATGGCGGCCATTTTTCGTAAAAAAATTTATCTTTGATAACTCAAATCAAATACCGGTTGACAGATTTCATTCAAATTTTATAGGCTTATGCCTTATGGGTGTAGGACCTCTGCTCGGGAAAGAATTTTCAATATGGCCACTAAATTCAAAATAGAGCCATTTTTAGGAAAAAATATAATCTTTGATAAGTCAAATAC